AGTCTTGAGCATCTAGTACCAAAGCGGTCCCAGAAGGCAATCGACCCTTCTCACTCCCAAAGGGGGCATGGGTGCCATGTCTGTCCTTGGGTTTGTGCTATCTCTGGACTCCTCACAGTCGGCCTTGATCAGAAGTCCTGGGACCCCAGAGCAGCCTGAAGCTGAGCAATTCTCCCAGCCGTCCTTGGACCCAGGAACACCAGCCCCTCCAGAGATTGCTGCCACCAAGGATGGAGGTCAGCACTGTCCCTCAGCTTGGGTGGGGGCGGCATTTGTCTGATGCAAGAACATTGAGGTCAAGTCAGACAGGCAGGCCTCATCTTAACAACCGAAAAATAAGTGAAACATAAGGTGTGCCCTGGCCAGTGTTGCTCAGCAGTTAGGGAGTAGGCCCGTGCACCGGAGGGTCACAGGATCGATTCCTGATCAAGGGCACGTACCTGGGTTGCAGGTTCAATCCTTGGCCTGGTGGGGACACATGCAGAGGCAACCAATTGATGTGTCTCTCTCATATCACTGCTTCTCTCTCTCTCTCTCTCTCTCTCTCTCTCTCTCTCTCTCTTTCTCTCTCTCTGCCTCCCATCCCCTCTCCCTTCCACGCTCTCTAAAAATCAATTAAAAAAATATCCTCCGATGAGGATTAACTAAAAAGTAAAGAAACATAAGGTTCATTTCAAGTTCCTCAGAAGGCAGGATGTGAAAATCACTGTAAAGATGTACGTTTGTTTTCAGTTGAAAATAACATATATTAGATTAGAAATAATAGTTCCATTTCCAAAAGGATTAAGTGGAAACCTATTCTGGTGATGGCACTCAACATTTCCTAGCTCGGGGGAGAGGTGGCATTTAAGAGGAAACCATGAATACTCTGACTCTGGCCATTCCCGTTTAACAAGTCCCCAGTTTTCCAAGCTTGTGTGCCTTAGTGAGGCCCTGCACTGATCTCTAAGTGCTGCCCTCTTGTGGTCACCTAAACACGTGCAGCTAAAGCTTTCTGAAGTCTTGCACATCTATCTTCAGATCAAAGAGAACAGAGCCTAGGAACTGACTTCTCCCACCAAAGCGGGGAAGGTGATTCAGGTTTGTCTCACTCAGGTGTTTCTGCGGGGTTGATACCTTTGCTTTGATGGCTGTTGTTTCATCAGTGTTCTGCTCACAGAAGAGGCAAGAGAAATCATCAAGACAGGCAATATTGATTTTTCTAGACTTTGCTAAAGAGAAAATTTGGGAAATAAGAAAGAGAACAGGCTTATGTACAGGAATATGTATTTATGCATGTATGTGCACATGCATACATATACCCATTCACATTGTATGTGTATAAGTACATGTATTTTATTTTGCTCCCCTGTCCTGCTCATATGGACGAGAGGAACACACGGCCGGCCCCAAGGTGCACGGTGACTGGTGTGAGAACTTGGGGAGGCAACCTTCCAGGGCCTCAGCTTCCTCACTGTAAAATGATATCTTTGACATCTGAAACAAATACCAAATAGTAGTGAATACAAACTATAATTGAAAAAAATAATATATTCAAAATCAGCTAAAAAAAAAAAAAAAAAAGATATCACTGAATAGATCATCTCTAAAGCCCCTGCCTATTCCAAATTCTGATTCTGCTTCAAACAAAATGGAAGAGAAACCCTTTTTCGTCACTCATTTCACGTGCCTGAGCAGATGCATAACCTTTCCTCCTTCTTGCTTCTCTTTGCACATTTCCTAACAAAGAACTCCATCATTTTGAATTATTTACATGCTTCCCTCTTTCTGCACCTGTTGGGATTTTCTTTTGTTTTTTGTTGTTGTTTTTTTATCCTCACCCGAGGACATTTTTCCATTTTTTTTGTTGTTGTTGTTGTTCAGATTGAGTGGGAGGGAAGGAGAGGAAGAGAGAGAGAGAGAGAGAGAGAGAGAGAGAGAGAGAGAGAGAGGAGAAACATTGATGTGAAAGGGACACATCGAGTGGCTGCCACCCGCACGACCAACCAGGGCCGGGGACAAACCGCAGCCAAGGTACGTGCCCTCAGTGGGAACCGAACCCGGGTCTCTCTGGACCGCAGGCTGATGTTCTAACCGCTGAGCCAAACTGGCCAGGGCGGAATTTTCATATTATATAGTGAAAAGTTTCATTTTTCTTTTTCGCTCTCAGTCAAGGGCCACCCTCCATCCCCACACCCATAGACCCCTAGTGCCTTCGAGAAAGATGGCCAATGTTACATAGAAAACCTACGAGAGCAGTTTCTGTGAGACCCTGACGAGCACCCAGAGCCTGGCCGACCGAGAAGGCACAGGTGCGGGTACGGGGACATCTCCACTGTGGCATTTGTGGAGACTATTCGTGCTCCAGTGGACACAGTGGTCCGAGCACCAAGCCAGCCCACCCACATCCTGCCCAGAGAAGTCCCAGGAGAAGGCAGCATCCTTGGGAGCATGGCGTGGGGACGTTGGTGGGGGCAGGAGACACGGGGCAGCTCTCAGCAGCCCTGACGGCAGAGCAGGTGTGGGCTCGGGAGACCAGCCCCACACGAAAGGAAATGGCGAAGTCAGGTGTTCACAGGACACGTGAGACATCCCTGGACTCTCCCAAACTTTTGGGAGGAACGTCAGGAGGTGGAGTTCCTTTGCATCTCTGGAGGGGACTGATGTGACCTATTTCCCCACAGGCTGGCGTGTGAAGATGGAACAGGATCTCAGAATTTAGGAAGAATTAGGGGAGGTACCCATCAAGTAATGCTTCCTCTATGCTGATTCTGCTGCCTCCAGAAATGAGTTGGACTTTGTTCCTATACAAACTTCAGGCATAGACAAAACTGAGGAAGTAGTGTAATGAGGTCCCACACACTTAACAAAATTATTACTACGTCACCAGTCTTGTTTCCTCTTCCCAGTGTTATTTTGGGTAAATACCAGATGTTTATGTAATTTTGTCCCTAAATACTTCAGTATGAATCTAACAAATAAGAATTCTTTTTAAAAAAACATAACTGCAATATCATTATCGCATTAAAAAATTAATAAGTCCTTAATGTCATCAAACACCCAGGCAGTGTTCAAATGTCCAAATGTCTCACAGATATTACATGCTCTTTTACAGTTGGTTTTAGAATCCAAATAAGGTTCGCACAGATATAAATCCTCAACTCCTGTATTGAATAATGCATTGAAACAAAAGCTAGAACAAAATTGAACTATCCCCATTTGATGTTTTATGAAATTGCAATAATAGTAAGGAGGGTATTTTTTTTTTCTTATAAAAACAATTTTCAAAGGCTATGTTAGTAATTGGAAAGCTATTTCCAAGGGCCCCAGGTTTCCAGCCTCATAAGTGGAAACACTTGGCAATTTGAGTGCCCAGCAATGTTGGCAGGCGAGTCATTTCCCGCTGGGACCCCCTGGTTTGCAGTGTTCCCCCTGCAAAGGCCTCCCGCCCTCAGCCTCTCCTCGGAGGCCTGGTTAAGTCAGAGGGCTGCTGCGTGGAATCAGCCACCAGGGGGCTCCCGAGGAACTCGGCGAACTTCAGAGTTCACCCAAACCACCTTGGTGCGTTTTATTACAGACAGAAGGGCTAGGATGGGGCTGGCCTCCTAGGTCAGGTCAAATTCTGCCAGCAGGAGAGACCAGACCTCAGAGAGATGCCGCTTGCTCCCCGAGGCTGGCTAGAAAAGGCCAAAGTGAGCTGTCAGCTGCTCTGCTGAAGGCTTGAGCTGTGCTGCCCCTCCCCTCAGTGGTCTTCCTGAATACGCACCTGATGGCAAAGAGAGCACACAGATGGGGGACATCCCGAGCTAATAGGCTCCTTGCAGCCCCGTGATTATTAATACATTTTTCGGTTATTAAGTACACGAAGAGAGTGTGGGTATACGCAATGTTAGACATGTAAGTAGGGATGGTTAATGTGAAATTACACACTGAGGAAGAAACCGGGACCTCCAGATTCTCCATCTGGCCTCACAAGTCTCTCCCCATCTCTGGGTCTCATGGCTGGACTGAGGGGTTCGGCACAGAGCCATTTGCTAGGGTGTCCTCCCTCTCCGCGGGGAGTTTTTGTTGGAGGACTGTATTCATTTGCTAGGGCTGGTTTAAAGCAACAGACTACATCACATCGCTGTTCTGGGAGGGCAGAAGTCCTAAGCCAGATGTCGGCAGGCCCGTGCTCTCTTGGAGGGCTCAGGGGACAATCCTGCCTTGCTTCTTCTCGCTTCTGGTGTTTGCTGGCCATCCTTGGGGTTCTTGGCTTGTGGGTGGCCATCTTTTCCCTGTATCTTCACGTCGTCTTCCCTCTGTGCATGTCTATCTCTGGGTCAAGTTTCCTCTTTTTAAAAGTCCATACATCATATTAGATTAAGGCCACATACACCCCATGGCCTCCTTAAACTTGGTCACCTCTGTCTCCAAATAAGGCCACATCCTACTACACTAGGGCAATTAGAATTTCAAGTTTTGGGGGGAAATGCAAGTTAACCCATCACAGGGACCACGTTGTAGAAAAGATAATCTTTGGAAGATTTGTAACAACAGACCGACGAATTGTACACGCTAGTGAGTCACTCCATCCTGAGGCTCCAAGAAAAGTTCTAGTCTACAAAGGTATTATAATAACACAAAAACTATTATGAGGAGGAAAACTACACAGCGTGGTTTTAATAAGAAAAGTAAGCATGTAACCCAAATGACATTCAACTCACTATATTTGATGTTTTTCTATGATCACTGATATAGAAAAAATATACAGGAGGAGACCAAAAATATCCAGAATTAATTTTTGCTAAAAAGTACATCAAAGGGTAACTATTATGCTACTAAAAAGATGATCACGGAACTCATTTATATAGTAAAGACTTCGAACTCTTTTATAGATTAAACACCGAGAACCAGTACACTACAAACATTCACAAAATCAGACTCACAGCCCGTTTCAGGACAAGGCACTCATTATATACACTAGTCCACCTCTGCTGTGGTCCTTCACACCAGTAAAGGGCCGTCCATTCTTCGGGCTTTTACTGCCCCGTTCCTGGCCCTTCGGGCATCGATCCCAGGAGGCGCCACTTCAGTTCCTGACATGGCTTCTCAATGAAGAGCGTCAGGGCCAGCCCAGCGATGAAGGTCAGCACGCAGTGTCCAGAGAAGAGATAGAACTGGAGAGAAGGGGGCACAGGGAACACAATCTTACTATGAGTCCCCTTGTGTCTGGGTCTTAAAGTGCACCATCCTGGCTGTCTGAAATGGACACACAGCCCTAAACATTCAAAATAAAACAAATAAAGCCAAGACATTCACCCGTGCTGAAGCTCGTCCTGGAAAAAACAAAGAACAACAGGCCTGTGACAAGCCAGCGGGCTGCTGGTTGCTGGGCTGCCGCAGACGAGAGCCTGGGGGCCGCGGGAGCGCGAGCTGCTGACTCACCATGTTGATGTCCGTGTAGTGCAGGAGCGTCTCCTGGAGGCCGCCGTAGAGGAGGATGATGATGGGGTGCACCAAGTAGCAAGCATATGCGATGCTGGCCAGGAAACTCCAGACGCCCCAAGAGAGCAGCTGGTTTACCGGACCTGTTGGCGGGAGGGAGGCATGACTCCTGGAGCCGTGTGCCCCTCTGGTCTGTGGAGACACCATGTCACCGCCGCTCCCTCCGCCTGCTGCACCTAAGTCTGTGGACTTCGAGGAAGGTCTTCTTTCATTATCATTTTTAAGAGAATGCACACAAAGAAACCCGACCTACCTTTGCAGGAGGATGAGACTATCAGAGAAGCTAATATGAGTTTACAGTCAGTTTACTGCCTCGGTGCAGTCTCAACCCCTGAGTACAAACACGCCACATACAAAACGAAGTGCAAGGTCCTTTCTCAGCCTGGGTCCTGGCTTCAGGTGCAGCCGCACGAGCTGCTGGGCCTTGGGACAAGGCATTGGCATCACTAGGCATTGGACTCTTTGTCCGTTATTGGGTGGCTTACATTTGATTGACTTCTAGGTCTTTCAGGACAAATATTCCATAACTTGGGTCCAAAAGAATTACCCCTTACAAGGGGCCCATCTACTGTTCAGATCTGAGGACAATGGTGTCGGTGAAAGGTTTTAACTGAAAGAGGAACATGGGCAACTCAACAGAAGACCTTGAGCAGAACAGGACCAGCAGGTCTTCTGTGACACTGACCGACGATGAAGGGAAGGGCGACTCGAGTCAACAGGATCCCTTCTCATCCTGAAAGTCTGAATTAAACACACCTTCAAATGTTCTCTTCATACTCTTTCTACAGGTTAGCACGTGGACACACCTTCGAAAGATGTATCTAACCCCCACCCCTCCCACATCCACCGACTCACCGAGCTTGACGTTTGAAACTAGTGTTGGAGACACAAACTCTGGACATCCTCGCACCCCTAACTGTGCTTGGCTAACGACAACACACATCGCAAAGACAACCCACCCAAGAAGGAGCCAAAGGGCCGGGGGTCGCCTGCAGCAACCGAGCTGACACCCCTCCAGGCGATGATTGACAGCATCTGCTAGCTCCTCTGCACTAATAAAACTGCACGTTCGGTTCATGCTGACCACCTAAGTCCCTCCCCGCTAAGGGGGTGGGGTGAGCCATTCACTCGCCCATGAGAAGGGAAGCTGTGGCCCCCACATCGTGGGTGGCCTGTGCCAGGCCAGGGGCAGCACTTGTTTATGTTCTGAGGCCTGTGGACAGCTCAGGGTCACAGTCCCCAGTGGGGAGCACTGTTAGGGTGTGGTCAGGTGATCCAAACAGCTGTCCATCAACACACACATCAGGGAGATAGGGCCCGTTTCCTCTTCAACATCATTTCTCCATAGAAGTCAAAGCTTTGAAAAATAAAATAGTAAAGAAAAAAATCCTGCATTGTGCCCTGGCCAGAGTGGTCAGAGCATCGGCCCGTGGGCCAAAGAGTTGCGAGTTCAATTCCAATCAAGGGCACGTACCTTGGTTGCAGTTCTTCCCCGGCCCTGGTTGGGGTCATGTGGGAGGCAACCAGTCAGTGTGTCTCTCTCACATCGATGTCTCTCTCTCTCTCTCTCTCCCTCCTTCCCACTCTACCTGAAGATAAATGGAAAAATATCCTCAAGTGAGGATTTAAAAAAAAAAAATCCCGCATCATTACATACTGATAACATTCAAGCCCAGTTTGAATGATCAAACCTCTGAGGGGGACCACGGCCCAGACATGAACGGGATTGGCCTCGCACTCGGTCCCGGGGTCACTTCCCTCAGCCACGGTCCAGCTGTGCGACCTTCACACACGCCTCATCTCCAGGCACCGCTTCCTCCCTAAGAAACAGCTGGGGTTCCGTCCACAGGGTGTGGCCAGTGCCACCGGGCCCACAGGGGCCCAGCTCTCCCCGGGCCTGGCACCAGCCAGCAGAGTTGGTATGATCACCGCGGCCCTCCCAGGGCAGACTTTGAGCCCAGCCTGATTATTTCCCGAGGGCACACCGCCGTGCCTCCACCTGGCTCCGGCACCCTCCCTGAGGCCAGCGTGGGCCAGCAGCTCTTCTGGACGCTTCCTGCCAGCCTGTCTGCTCACCTGCCGGCACCTCACGCCACGTTCCTACCTCGGTCAGACAGAGAAGAAAGGGAAGGTCGTCGGGTGACTGGCACCGGCCTTTCCACCCGGGAAGGGACTCCTATCTTTCCAGTTGCGCCCCGTTTCTGCCTGATTTCTGCACGTGAAGACCAGACTCAGCAGGACCAGTGTCCCTGGTCGTCAAAGGGCCGGGGGACCTCGGCGGCTGTTCAGTCTCTACCCTCAGGAGGGTAAACCGAGGCCAGTGGGTACCCCCAGAAGTCTTGTTCCCTGCGCCGGGACTGTTTCTCACGACCCTGCCTGTTCTCTTCCGACTCCTAAACCTGCTTCACTGGACAGGCTGCCCATCTTCCTCCCTGAACCTGAATTTGTACACAAGCCGCTGTAAATTCTGAAACGGAACATGCGGGATGTTCTCCTCAAGGAGATGGACAGAATGAGGTTTCGGAGTTCTTGGCCCCTCTCTGCACATTGTTTTCATACTTGTCACCTGTAAAGGGACAGCATGAGCCCACGAACATCATACCTCCATAGCCTTCGTGACATGCAAACACGACCCAGCCCACAGCCGCCGCCCACAGGGTCCGGTGCAGCGCCTGGTAGACAGCGGCGGCCGCTGAAGGGGTGGCAGAGGTGTCGTCCACTGCATACGCCACAGCGACCACCGCGAACAGGGTGGACAGGGAGCAGATCCAGCTGAGCAGCGTCCGCACCTGCAGGGCAAGGAACAGTGCTGTTCAGAGCCCGTCTGGGCTACAGTTTACTTCTCCACACCAACCTCCTTTCTTGTGTCATTACTGCCGCTTTGGGTGTCTATTTATAAACCACAATCAGTACCCGGATTTGACTAAAACGGGAGGCTCAGATTAGTGGTTGCGTGGGAGAGGGGAGGGTGGGTGTGTGGTCGTGGAGGCAGCACAAGGCAGATCTCTGTGGTGACAGAGGAGCTCTGAGCCTCGACTGTGGTGGCGGTGACACAAATCTGCACACGTGGTCCAACTGCACGGAACTGTCTGCCCATACAACACGCCTGCGGGCCTCAGGCCCCTGGACGTACTGTGTTCAATTTCTCGGTTGTGACAATAATTATGTAACATGTTACAGTGGGGGGACCTGGGTCAAGGGGACACAGGACCTGTGCTGTTTTTGCCACTTGTCATGGCTCTCGACTCATGTTCAAATGAAAGTTAAATGACAAAAGAAAGCTTGCCTTCGTTTTGAGAACGTCTGCCGCGTGGTTTTGGTGCATGGAAATGCTCAGGAAGACGCCCACGAGGAAGGGCCCGCATCGGCAGTACGGCTTAGTGTAGTACTCCAAGAAATACAACACGGATGCATTTTCACTGAAAAACACAAGGAAATAGCACAAGTGGTTATGCTTGATCTGGACACAGAAAAGAGTCTCTCAGATGCCCCCTGGGTCAGTCAGCATTTCCAAAGTGAAAACTGGGGTACATCTGTTCATTTCCTCAGTAACGATCCACACACAGGGACCCCGTGACCCTGCCGTAGGCCACAGCTGGCTTGCTAACCCTCCAAATTCCCGTGGGCCCCGCCACCCTGGATCCCAAGGAAACATGATGGTGGTGTTCGTTTCCAGTAGTTGTTTCTGATGGCTGGTATGTCAGGAGGACTCAAAAAATGCCGTTCTCAGAAGTGAACCTCTTCGGAAAGACACGAATCTCTTCCTGGAACCTCGTACAAAATTCGGTCACCTGGACCACACCCCAGTGAGTCCGTTGGTCCGAGATGGTGCTTTCTGGGAGCATAAGAAGGAAGTAAAAGCCCCCCAGGGGAAACTTGTGTGCATTCAGAGCTGAAAACCACTGGGCAAGACAGGGGTGAGCCTCCTCTCAGTGACCTGGCCATGCCCGTTACATGACAGAAGGGCAGGATGCCCCCCTGGTTGAAAGGCCTAGGGTGCAGTCATTTCTCCATTCATTCAGCCCACTCAGAAATACCTAGTGAGCACTTATGTGCCAGGGATGGTTCTGGGCTATTTTACATCAGGTGGTCAGCGACAGCTGCTCTGAGAAGGTGACATTTGCACAGAAACCTGTAGGAAGTGAAGGAGCAAGCCCTGCCACGGTCTAGACTCTACAGGAAAAGCATCTAGTGTAAGGGGACAGCAAGTGCAAAAGCCCTGAGGAGGGAACATGGCTGGTGTGTGGACGTAAGGAGGCCGGCATAGCTGGTCCAGAGCCGGGGAGTGACGGATGAGGTCAGACAGGGATTCTGCTTTGAGAGCAACGGATGGCCATCAGGGGGACTGAGCAGATGACTGACAGGCTGATTTTCATTTGCATCACTAATTGCTGCATCGAGAACAGATCAGCAGGTAACTGCACCAGTTTATCTTGTATAATACACAGGGTGGTTATAAGAAAGAATTGTTAGACATACCTCATTAGGGAGGCAAAGCAGCACAGTGTGTAAGATCCTAGGTTCAGCTCACACCTATGCCCCTTACTAGCTGTGTGACCTTGAAGGGGTAACCCCAACTTCCTCAAGTTCAGTCTCTCCATCCAACAACAGAGCCTCCCAGCAGCACTTTGCTGCTGGAGGAGAAACACCAGCCAGCCACGTGGGGGCGCTGCTTTCCTCCCTCTGGAAGCATTCAGTGGCGAGAGGACCCCAGTGCAAGCTGAAAGGTTCAGAAGTTTGGAAACAAAAGCGCCATCAACTTTTCCATCGGGGCTGAGCATTTTCCACTCAGTTTTCCCACCAGCCGCTGTGCACAGTGCAAACAGCCTGGCATTCATTCCCCAGCCCTCCCTGGGAGGTCCTGGCCATTCTCAGGGCAGGCAAGGGGCAGAGCCCGGCAGGCTGGGAACCCGCTTACCTTGCTTCTGATGGAGCTGCCACGGGAAGGGCATGAGCCAGCGTGAGCAAAGCAGAGGCAGAGAACGTTGCCAGGAACAGCACGGCCCCGAGGAGGGCAAGGACATGTTTACTTCTGCAAAGAAGAGAGGACATTGACAAGAATGCTCTTCACCTTCCTCCCCTGCAGAATTTGTGCACACGAAGACGAAGCCTTGGGAAAGGCTGGGCCTGCCTTAGAGAGGGGCTGACGTGGGGGCAGCTGTGGCCGAGCGGGGCGAGAGCTGCGCTGGAGTTGGAGAAGCTGAGTTAGCCTTTAGACGGGACCCTGGGCAGGACCTTGAACTTGAGCTTCCTGTCCAGAAAGGGATAGTCAAGGCATCCTCACCTGCCTCGCCCTGACGCTTACTGTACAGTTCAAAATGACACCATGCTTGGGATGTCCCTTGTCACCTATGAAGCCCCACACCTAGTGGTGGTTGACTTGGGAGAGAAGTGAACTGTCAGAGGCAGGGCGGGAAACAGGTGCCCAGGCACCCACTCCAGGCACAGGGGGGATAAATATCATGGGATGCAAATGAGGGATCGGGTAGGGAAACAGAGGAGCAGGGAAATTCGTTGCAAGGATGAGCTATCAAGGTGGCTGATGCTGAATTCTTCCAGAATGTTCTGCAGAGCCTTATAAAATGCACCTGAAGCCCTGGCCGGTTTGGCTCAGCGGTTAGAGCGTCCGCCTACGGTCCAGAGAGACCCGGGTTTGGTTCCTGCTAAGGGCATGTACCTTGGTTGCAGTTTGTCCCCGGCCCTGGTTGGTCGTGAGGGTGGCAACCACTCGATGTGTCCCTTTCACATCGATGTTTCCCTCTCTCTCTCTTCCTCTCTCTCCCTCCCACTCTGTCTGTACAAAAAATGGAAAAATGTCCTCAGGTGAGGATTAAATAAATAAATAAATAAATAAAATGCACCTGAAAACTGTCCTGAGGGATGAAAGAGGGAAGCATTTTCCTACTGTCATCTGTCCCCCGTAGGTCAAGGGTGACCCTACACAAATGAATTCCTGCGCGTGTTGGGACTGTGCGTTAAGACAGAGAGGCTCCCAAAGGAGTCCCAGCTGTAGTATGCGGGAGGTTCTGGGGCAAGAAATGACACTGAGGGACACCGGCTCGGGGCGAGGCACCGTCTGGTTGTACCGACTCGGAAATCTGCCGGTTGGGACCAAGAGGATGTGCGGCGGCCTCTGCAGTGGAAACGTCAGACACGGGCAGAGGACGCAGCAGGCATGGCCCTACCTGGGTGAGGCCTCTGACAAGCCCGTTCCTCTGCTTGAAGCTGCCATGGTTTTCGTGAGGAAGAGATGAGGTTCAGTTATCACCATAGTGACACAGGGAGAGAATGACTGTCGTCCAGAGCCAGTTCTAGTGTAGTCGGAATGCTCGGACTGGAGGCGGAGTCTTAGCTCAGTGGTGCTGTGACTGATTAGTAATGTCTGCAGTGAGCGTGGGCAGGGGAGTGTGGTAACTGACCGTCCTCGGTGGGTGGTAAACCGGCCAGGCCATCTGATAAAAGCCCATTCACCCCAGTACTTGTTTATCTGACTCCCCGGGGACTCGAGCCCAATCTGGGGCACCTTCTCTCAGGACTCAGATGAGCCTCCACTAGCTTACTCCCCCCACAGCTGAACGAACAAAGCCCCCGACAGAGACTGCTGTGGGCTGGACTGTGTCTCCCCACATTCTGACCCCCGGCACCCCAGGACGTGACTGTTTAGAGGCAGGGTCTTTAAAGAGATCATTAAGGTGAACTGAGGTCAGGGGGTGGGCCCTGATCCAATATGACTGGAGCCTTAGAAGAAGAGGTCAGGACACAGACACACACAGGGGGACCACACGAGGACACGGGGAACACGGCCGTCGACAAAGACAGCGGCGTCAGAAGAAACCAGGGCCGTCAGCACCTTGATCTCAGACGTCCAGCCCCCAGACTGGGAGGAAATAAATGCCTGTTGTTTAAGCCATGCGTGTACTTTGTGATGGCAGCCCGAGCAAATGATCCACAGAGGCACCAAAACAACCTTCCCCGAGCCTGGGCCCCCAATCCGGGCCTGTGCCCGCAGAACCGACGGCCTGGTGCTAAGGCGTCCCTCAGCCAGCGCAGGGGAGCAGTGCCACAGCCTGGCTCCTGGCAGGGGGACTGAGAAAGGCCCGAGCATCCACACTCGCCAGCGGTCCCGCTCTCTGGAGCATACGGGCCCTCAGAAAGGCCAACAGCCCGGAGGAGGAGGACTAGCAGGGTGCTCCCTCTGGTCTGACAAGCCCGGGCTGCCCAGGCCTCTGTCTGCCCCCAGCCTCTGGCCAGGACACCCCACAGGATCTGCCTTGCGCTTTCTTCAGGAAACACCAGGATCAGCCATCAGAGCAGCTCCGAGGAAGCCTACGGAGGCTCGCCCCTGCCCCTGCCCCTGCCAGGGCTGCCGGGCCGCGGAGGCCTCGTTCCTGCCCCTGCCCCTGCCCCTGCCCCTGCCAGGGCTGCCGGGCCGCGGAGGCCTCGTTCCTGCCCCTGTCCCTGCCCCTGCCCCTGCCCCTGCCAGGGCTGCTGGGCCGCGGAGGCCTCGTTCCTGCCCCTGCCCCTGCCCCTGCCCCTGCCCCTGCCAGGGCTGCCGGGCCGCGGAGGCCTCGTTCCTGCCCCTGCCCCTGCCCCTGCCCCTGCCCCTGCCAGGGCTGCCGGGCTGCAGAGGCCTCGTTCCTGCCCCTGCCCCTGCCCCTGCCCCTGCCCCTGCCCCTGCCAGGGCCGCCGGGCCGCAGAGGCCTTGTTCCTGCCGCACCTGAACCTGCAGGCACTTGGCGAGGCCTCAGCGCCTCCAGGGCCTCGGCCAGCACAGAGCAGAACTGCAACAGCCCAGAGCGCGGGCCCAGCTGTTCCCCTGCTCCCAGGGAGCCCCTAGGTCTGAGTTTCTGGCCAGAGGGAGAGCCCACCCCATGTGGAGCCCCAGTGAGCCTGCGCACGTCTCAGCTCCTGCTCGGGAGCCTCTCCTTGGGCCACTGGGGGATCAGTGACCCAGGAGTCCTCTGGATGACCAGCCCACCCCCTCCAAGGGGCTGGGAGATGGGGAGCTTGCTCAGCATCCCAAAGACACCTTTATCTACTGTCCACCTTCCTTGCTGAATTCTTTGTTGGGGTGAAGGGAGACAATCACTCTAATTCCCGCCACTTTCCATAGCTTCATTCTGGAGAGATGTGGGTATAAGCAGACGTTGGATGGTAGGTCTTTCTACAAGAGGATGTTTGTTTTTTTCTACTCTTCATTCCCAAAATAAATAGCAATGTGATTATCAGATCTTAATTCCATAGTCAATCTCATATGCTGTTATCAGTTCTGTTCTATTATCAAAAATTGCACACATACACACCCACCCTGAGAAAGTAAGACATGAGATTAGGATGCTTTTGTTCTGGGGAAAGAATGTGGGTTCACCCGCTTCCCTCCCTCCAGGAGGCACAGACACAGACCACACACCCGCCCCAGGACGGCAGGCATTCAGGGTCTCCACATCCCTCCACGCCCCTGCCCCTCGGAGGAGACAGAACTGAGAAGTGATGAAGCAGGAAGTGTGAGGCGGGTGAGGCTGAGCAGAAAGAAGAACGCAAAACCTCTCATCCCAAAACCTTCCTTAAAGCCTGCTCCACAGCACTGCCTTCTAGAAAGGGCGGTTAGGGAGGAAACCGAGGAAGGGGACTGCTGCCCAGGCCAGGAGCAGAAAGCAGACACTCACAGCGGGTACCCCAGCCCCTCCCCTCAGTCCCTGCAGAGACTGGGAGGGGCACTGTTGTTACTGCGCAGATGGTGGCTGGGGACCAGGGCGAGTACATGGAATCTCAAGGGACAGGGGACTGAGTTGACCAGGGTTGCACATCACTGACAAGCAAGTACTGAGCTAATTCCCAAGTGCATGATCTCACTTGGTCCTCCACCGCGGACGTGAAGTGTTAGCCTCTCCGTTTTGCAGATATGAAGAATGACAATGAGAATCCAGCGACTTACTCTGGGTCCCCTAGCTAGTCACTTACCTGTCAGGATTTGAACCTACGTCTTCTGACTCAACCTCACTGTGCCACAAACCGCCTCTTAGTGATTAGCCACGGAATGCTTTTTTAACAGCTGAAAACTTTTACATTTGAATATAGAAGGCTTTGTGAGTTTAAGACGTGGATATGAAAAGGCAAATTTGCCTTTTTTTTTAATGCTCAAGTCTTAGATTAAAATAAACTTGTGATGCCTTTCCGTTTGTGCAGTAGTGTGAATGTTTGCATGAGGCTGGAATGGGCGACATCACGGGGTAGCCGGAGATTCAAAGGTCTGCCTTCAGCAAGGCGTGATCGGGTACCCACGAACAGAGCTGCTCGGCACATACTTGGAACTCAGCTCCGCCCCCTAGGAATCAATGACTTACAAGTTGAATGTGAAAAATGAGTGTTTTCTTTTACATGTCAAAATAACAAATTTTGGCCCTGGCCGGTTTGGCTCAGCGGTTGGAGCGTCCGCCTGCGGTCCGGAGAGACCCGGGTTCGGTTCCAGCTAAGGGCATGTACCTCGGTTGCACTTTGTCCCCGGCCCTGGTTGGTTGTGCGGGTGGCAGCCACTCCATGTGTCCCTTTCGCATCGATGTTTCTCTCTCTCTCTCTCTCTCTCTCTTTCTCTCTCCCTTCCTCCCTCCCTCCCTCCCTCCCACTGTATCTGAACAAAAAATGGAAAAATGTCCTCAGGTGAGGATTAAAAAAAAGTAAAATAGATAAAAAAACTAATCTAGGGAAATGCTTATGTCATAAAATTATTAAAAGAAAGATACTAAATTGTATATGCAGAACCCTTTCATGCAGAAAAAGATCAGAAGGATAAATACCAAAATGCTGACGGGGAATTCATGTCTCCCTGAGGCAGGAGACGGGTCTGGGGTGATGGTGTTCCCCTCTCTTCATCCTAATGTTTTTTCCACTGTCCTACATTTAACAAAAGAGAATAAATCTTTTAAAATACGGCATGGATGATGCGCAACTATCTACTTCTTTGTCAATAGCTGAGGCTTTTGTTTAAAATTTTTCTAAAACCAACAAAAATCCGGGTTGATAAGTCACCCCCGTGGTGAGGCAGGCACAGGATGGATTCTTGGGGCACTGTAAATTATTTCAGTCTTTCTGGAGAGCCATCTCACAGCATGTCACAAAAATGTCCCTACCCTTTGCCCTAGTAATTCCACTTGCAAATACGTCCCCAAGGAAATAACTAAGAGAAAGAAAGGTGTGTTCCAGGACACTCATGGCAATGCCATTCATAGTCATGAAGAACTGGAAACAATCTGGATGCCCAGCCTTCAGACTGGTACTTAATCCTAAAACTGACCGCTGTGCAGGTCATGCCCGTATGTGGCCGTGTTCGCAGACCAGTTACGGGGAAGCTGAGCATGAGACGTCACACACGCCGACCACACTGCGAAGGCACAGCCTGGTCTGCGCAGGACAAAGATGGGAGGAGAGTGGAGAAGGTAGACCGTCAGAGAAGTTCCGATCCCCGGTTTTACAAGCTGCCGTCCCCAGACCTGGAGCACTCCCCGAGAGCTTTGTGGAAAAGGACACACGGGGAGACACCATGTCCCAGTGAGACTCACTTTCCGTGGACGAAGATGATCACCGGTGTCATGAGATGGAAATGGAAGTCGTTGGCAAGGTACCACGTCCAGCCAGCACACTGCAAAGAGAGCAAAGGTCACTTCCGGTGCCGTTACCAGGAACTGCCTCCCATTGTCCCACTGTCCCCACTTCCTGAGCCAGGAGAGGAGTTCAGTGGGCAGGTGGGGAATTTCTCAGGAAGAGAAAGGAATGCTGAGTTCCAGGTGTCTCCCAGACCTCACCTCGTCTCATCTCTGTAACAAGCCTGGACGGTAGGTTCCCGCTTACAAAATGGAAATTCAGTTTTCTCTATTGTTTACGAAAGAAAACAATAGCTAATCCCCTAGGACAGCTGTGGGAACTAAACTCTATCATGTTACACAAATGCAAGGAATAATTATCACTGCGGTGCGGTGGGAGTCCGGTGGGTCACTGCTGCCCCCTGTTCCTGGCCACGCCCACCCTCCCCGCCCCCGCCCGAGGAGGAGAGAATGTGACCATAGAATGGAGTCTGGCTCCAGACAAGTTATGTGGGAAACCCAGAGCTCCCACAGGCGACTGACATGAGATCACTGGCCAACGCCACAGCGGTCATTTCTTACCGTCGTGTGAACTGAGGCAGTCACCTGTATTTCTTCTCGATGTCAGGACACTCCAGGGGCAATCTCCTCCAGCTTCACTGATAAAAGGCATCTTGGTCCCCACCCCCCTCCAAGGGAGACCGGATTTAACCAACAGAAGTGACAGCTCTCCTTGTCCCAGCTGGAGACAAGTTCTCTGGTGGGGAAATCTGAGGCCTCACACCTCTGCTCCCAAGACCTAAGGTGGGCTCTACCTCCGACAGGTAACAGCTGGTGTCTTTACCACTGATTCCCACACACGGCCCAAGCAGTCTGCACCTCGGGAAACAGCCCAGGCTACACCCCACAGGCCCTGGCACAGGCGCGGGCCCGCCGGAAGGCAGTTAGATGGCGGTATGTGCCCTGTCGAAGCTGCTGGGCACCTGGAAACAGGGGCAGTGTCTAGTCGGTAAGTGACCATGTGCATAATTAGCGACATTCTAGTGAGTCTCTCTTCAGCTGCACTTGCCAGGCACGTGCAAAATCTGTGACAGGCTTTAATTACAGCTCCCTCACTTTCACTTACTCCAAGCTCATCATGAGCAAATGAGGGCTTGGGGGAAGCCAAGGCCAGTGTACACAAATGTTGCTCTGTCAGACTGGCTTCAAGCTGAATCTAATTCATTCTGGTGGGGTGTGGAGCAGAGTTCCGTCCTGTTACAGGCTCTCTCTGTGGAAGTGAAGAAACCGGCCCTTCCCCCGGGGGCGACACCGACTGAGACAGGAACCATGTGGAGCAGGGTCTGCGGCATTCGGGACATGCACCCGGATGGCTGGCCCCTCGATGCCTGCTCCCCTGATCCCTTCCCCTGCCGAGCCTCACGCAGTCACCACGCGCTCCATCACCGGAGTCCGGTCTCCTCGCCCAGAGCCCAGCTTCCTACGGCGTCACTAGTACTCCCAAGAAGATACCAGAAAGAAGGGGACCAGACTCCTCAGGTGGCCCTTGGGAAGCTCACTGAACCATGGCACAGGAGACACCACCTCGACATCCTTCTGCGCCTCGGGACTCACCGCGTTCCGGACCGACAGGAAGTCATTGAGCAGCAGCACGTTGGTCCACCACGCTCGCCGGCAGCTGTCCAGGTGGAGCTTGGGCACCTCCCAGACGGGTCCCCAGGGAGCGAGGGAGAACAGTCCAACCAACAAGCACACGGAGTACAGGTGAAGAGGCTGCAACCTGGCGGGAAAGAACCAGGCGAGAGGTGACTCCACAGAGCTCCCATTCAGTCCCCTGGACGGACACAGGGAAATGGGGGTAAGATGCTCTGAAACAGAACCTACTGGGTGAACAACCACCTCCCACCTGCACCTTAAACATTCATGGGTCAAAATCATTTCTTGAGCACCTGTTATGTGCTGGCTTAGGTGCTGCTGATGCAAAATACTATTCTTTGAGCAAGATGTATGAGTCAGCCACCGAGCTAAGAACTTCGTAGATATTTTCCAGCCTCAAAATACTCCTGTTGGGCAACTGTTACTGCCTTTTTTTTTTAATCCTCACCCGAGGACATTTTTGCATTTATCTTTCAGATAGAGCAGGAGGGAGAAAGGGAGGAAGGGAGAGAGAGAGTAACATCGATGCGAGAGAGACACATGGAGTTGCTGCCACCCACACGACCCCATCCCGGGCTGAGGACAAACTGTAATCAAGGTAGGTGCCCTTCCTAGCAGGAACCAAACCCGGGTGTCTCTGGACTTCAGGCTGACGCTCTGACCACTGAGCCAAACCAGCCAGGGCTGTTACCGCTTTTTACTGATGAGGAAGTTGTAGGTCAGACAAGTTCGAGTGACTTGCCCAAGGAGGCTCAACCACACGCAGCAGGGACCTGACATCGGTTCATGGTCTTCCTTTGTGGCTTCCCTGGATGAAAAGCTCTTCCTCCTTCCCTCTTTCCCTCTCTCTTTCCTTGATTTATCTCGTCCTTCCTTCCCTCACACCCTACCTCCCTCCACGTGGGATTTGAAGCAGCTACAAAGATGATGGATAAGTCACCCTGTGTCTAGACCAGCGCTGTCCAGTAGAAATATAATACCAGCCACATCTGCCCCTAGTATCGTAGTAGCCACATTTTTTAAAGTCAAAAGAAACAGGTACAGTTCATTGTAATAATATACTTTATTTAGCCCAATGAATCCATAATCTCATTTCAACAGGTAACCAATACAAGAAATTACTGAGTTATTTTATGTTGTCCTTCCTTTTGCTGAGCCTACAAAATCCAGTGTGCATTTTTTACGTTTTCGTGCATCTCGAGGGGCCACGTGTGTGCGGGCCGCACGGGGCTAGTTTCCGGGCGAGGCTCTGTAGCAGAGAGGCACACGCAGTTCTGGGTGGGCTGCGGTCAGAGGACTCTTTTAAAAAACACACTGAAAAGCTCAGGGTAGTGCAACTCGGGCAGAGCACATGGCCGACAGCTCTTCCATCACCTCGGTGCGTTGGGGCGTGGGGGGCTGGCATGGGGGCCTGGCGTGGGTGTGGCAGATGGGAAGGGCGGGGCGGCTGGAGGTGCCCCCTCAGTGAGTCATGGGTCAGCACCCAGCCTCCGGTCTGCACTCAGAAACCAGACCTTCCGGCCTCCTGTCCTCCCCAGTGAGAAATTCCTTCACTGGGACTGCCCAGAAGGGCTGTGGGCATGTGTGGAGCAGAACTGGAATTGCTGATCAAAGTCAAAGAAAGGGCACCGGCCGGTGCCAAGGTGCAACACCCCAGATCAGCTCTGGCACCAGACACAGAGCCTCCCTGGGTGTGGGCCCCGCCAGGACTAGCCATCAGACCAGTGCCCGGGAGCTGCTCCCACAGGCCTCCCTCCCCGCCATCTGTCTCCTCCTCTTCCCCCGGGAGAGCAAGTCAGCTCCCTGCTCCCCCCAGAAGCAGGTGTCCACAGGAGAGAGTCTGCGTCCCCCACTCATTGTCCACGGCCCTCCCTGGGGTGCTGGTAAAAATGCAGCCTGTGAGCCCGGCTGTGGGGCAGAGCGGAGGCCGCTGGGTGGGCCTTGACTGGAGAAGCTACAGTGAACGAACTAGCAGCGTGAATTCTGCTTTTGTCTAAATTTTTCACACTGAGAAAATATTATCACGTCTCTCTTTCCTCTTCTATGGGAAACAGAGATGATGACTCCTTCGATTCTTCGAAGGAGGAGGATTTCTACCTTCTAAGATTTTTTTTGAGAATTAAATGAGATCAATAAGAAAACTGAAACACTGAAAGGGTCATATAAATATACATGAGCTTCAGTTTTTTCCAAGCTTCCAGCAAATTTAAAGTCAGAGTGGTTTTTCAAAGACTAAAATTGCAATCCTAGCCATGTTTGTGGAGGTTTGAGAAGCAGGGGTTCTCGGCCTGGTGGGTAGAAAAATAAACTGGAAAATGTCCATCAAAACGTTAGCTGCACCGAATTAGCAATTGCACTGGTAGGAATATACCTGCAAACATGCTCATACAATTGCACAAATATGTACCTTCATTGTATCACTGTTTGAAATAGCAAAGATAACTTGACAATTACCTCCATGTTCATTACTGGGGACAGGTTATATAAACGATGGTCTACCATACAATGCCACCCCAGGCAACCTCTAAAATCAGAGAGGCAGGTTCTTGCATGCAAATAGAGGTGTGGAAAAGAGTGTACATAGTATAGTATAGTATAGTATAGTATAGTATAGTATAGTACGGTATAGTATATAGTGTAATCCTATTCACAAAAATAGTGCCTATAAGTACATGGAAAGTCTCTACAAGAATTCACAAGAAACTGTTAAAGGTGCCCTGTGGGAAGTGAGACTGGACGGGGGCCCCTTAATTGAAGTGTATAACCATCTGTTATAGTTAGGCATTTTTATCACAACCTATTTTTTTAAAAACCTAACTTTAAAATGTGGCTCATCATTGGAATAATCACACAGTTTTAAGGGTCTGGAATACCTCCTCTCCTCATTTCCCATGAGATAACCTCTGTGCTGACCTACCCCTTGAAGCTGGGTTTTTGCAGGGTCTTATAATTTGCCGTAGCTCCCGACTGGTCTCCTGTCTCCTGCCCCTGCCTGGTTACAGTCTATTCTCCGCCCTGCAGCCAGAGTGATTCTTGGGAAATGTCCATCTGACCACGCCACTGCCCTAGTGAACTCCTCCAAAGCCTTCTTGTCTCAGAATAAAACGGAAAGTCCTGCAGGTGGCCCAAAGACCCTCCGGGACCTGGGCCGTCCGCCCACCCCGCCCCACCTCTCTGACCTCCTTCCCTGTTCTCCACTCCAGCACCTTTGGGCTCTTCGAGATCCTTCAAACACACCAAGCATGCTCCCTCCTCAGGACCTTTGCACGTGGTCGCCCCTGCATGGACCCTGCTTCCCTCGCAGCATTTTCTTTGCTTAGAACATTTCCTTACTTCCTTCAAGGTTCTTGACAAATATCACCTTTCCTGACCACTTTTACAGAGAAAGACCCCATCTTACTTCCTTCTCCAAATTATCACTTTGTGGCATTTATCATCACTGGCCCATCATACGTTGATTTGCACATCGTAACTGAATGGTGCCTATTTCTTCATTATCTACTTCTATTCAGGAGAATGTAACCCCACACTTACTAACTGCTACATGCTCAGGGCGTAGCACAGCGCCTAGCACATGGGGACCCTTGATAAACGCAGAAAGAGGGTGTGAACAAATTATCTCACTTCCACTCCTCTGGAGGTAAGTAGGCAAGCGACAAATCACTGAGTATGACGGAGAGTTGGCAGCATGAAGGAGCACAGCGAAGGGCATGGCTGCTTTCTCACTGGGTGTACCTCTAAGAGGATGAGTTCAAGCTGTGGGTTGGTGACGGTCCCCTCCATTTTTCAACAGTGCTGTCCCAGCTTGGATTCAGCGTGGCACTCTTCCAGACCTCCCTATCTCAAGAATGCCACCACCATCTGCCGTGTGGCTCGGGCCAGAAATTGTGTATCCTTGACTTGCCCTCTGTGCATTCCCGCCGCCATCGCCACTCGCATCCTGCTCTCCTGCCAGGTCTACAGTGATGGCTCCCTGGGTTCTTGCCTCCACCTTGCCCCCGTAATGCTTCACCACCCTCCCCCCCACCCTGAACTCTCCCTGCCCCCTCCATGACTTTCTCTGCCTGGGGAAACACCTCTCACTCCTCGATCCCCAGCTCCAGGATTTCTCCCCTGAGGCAAGTTTACCCAGCAGAACCCACCCCGTCATTGAATTCCCCATTGCAAACCCTAACCAACCCATCTTGTCACTAGGAACCCTTGGAATGATGCCAGTCCCTCTTCTCCAGAAGACCTGAGGGCAGGCAGGCTGCGTGACCCAGCGCCACACCCCCGAGGGACAGTGACAGAGTATTTTGTCCTTCCCAGGACGAGCGCTCGACGTAATAGAAGGTGGAAGAAACCACACAGCCACGGTGAAAAGAAACCAATAAAGGTCTATTCCTCAGCTTGGACTCACTCTTAGCCTATTTAGAGGGAAAGTTAAACCATGTAAATAACAATAACAACAGTAATAAACATAACTTACATTTATTAAAGGCTTACTGTGCATCACATACTTTCCCAAGTTCTTTACATACATTATCTAATTTAATCCTCATGAGAGTCCTACAAAGTGATGTCATTATTCTCTCCATTTCTGAGATGGGAAAACTCAAGCACAGAGAGGCTACAACACTTGCTGGTCACACAGCTGGTCAGTGATGGAGCCGGCACGCAGGCCCGGCAGACAAACTAGAGTCAGCTCTTACCCACTGGTTTTATTAGCCCGAAGATTGTTTCAACACTCCCCCTTCCATTTCAGAGCATATAGGGGGACAAGAAGGGCATGGGCTCTGAGTAATGAGAGCTGGGCTCTAGTTTGGCAACCAACTGACTTAGAAAATAAGTACATGGAGGGGTTGGGTTACATGAGTTGAAGCTCCTTTTCTGTCTAAAATTAGACTGTCTCATGACATACCTGCCACTCTGCTCTCCCACTGGTTTCATATTCTGTCCCAAAAGCGTCATCGTTCTGCTCCAACCAACCGCACACTCGCAAAGATCATCATCCTACCTCCTCAGCAGAACGACTATTATCCCAACTGTCAACCGGCCCCTCTCCTGGTTGTATCTTATTTTATCTTTATCATTACCATTAACACTCTTAATTTACAGGATCCAATTATTACCAACCTTCAAGAGCCATACAAATTCTCCTGTTGAATCTAGAGTCCATGCCTGTCTGACAAATTTTCATTGAAATCCACTGCCCATCAGCTAAGGAACAAGGATGTTTTTGCAGGTTTAATATAGCTCAAATTTTATTAGGACAAGTACCATGAGAACTGGAAAGCCATTAAATCAGCAAAAACCTACTGTATTGAAGGAAGAAAACGATTTCTCTCCATTTATTTTTCTTTAAGCATTCTTTCAAAAGAGAGTTAGCCCTGGCCAGTTTGGCTCGGCAGTCAGAGTGTCAGCCTGCGGATCAGAGAGTCCCGGGTTCGGTTCCTGCTAAGGGCACGTACCTTGGTTACAGTTTGTCCGCAGCCCCGGTTGGGGTTGTGTGGGTGGCAGCAAGTCGATGTGTCTCTCTCACATCAATGTTTCTCTCTTTCTCTCTTTCTCTTACTCTGTCTCTCTCTCCCTGCTCCCGCTCTATCTGAAGATAAATGCAAAAAAAAAAAAGTCCTTGGGTGAGGATTAAAAAAAAGAGGATTAAATAAGAAAAAAATCATAAATTATTACACAGCAATAGTAAATTGAGAAATTATACAAATAAGCCTACCTTATAAGGCGACTAAAGTAGTATCTGAGTATGATGTTGGCGGTGATTCCTTTTCCGGAAGACGGCAGCATCTTTAAAAACGACCTCACACTTAACCAGCCACTGAGAGAGAGAAGCATCATCACAGGCACTATTGATCGGAGATACAGCTCACTGGTTAATTAATGTGGTTGTCTCTATCAAGCTAGGATAAGTCTCGCTGCAGTAACAAAACACCTCCAAGTCTTAGAACAATAACCACTTTTTTCTTGCTTATGCTACGCAGCCGTTCACTTTGGGTCAGCACTTTTTCACCATGACCCAGGCTGATGGAGCAGCCAGACTCTCCAAGCTCACAGTGATCACAGCAGAGGGCAAGAGAGTTCTGGAGGGCCTCCAACCAGCAATGACATGCCCTAGCCCAGAAAGGACATGCTTAACGCTCCCAGGGGTAGGGCAATACCAGGCCCCCCTCGTAGGTCAGACCTAGGGATGTGGTCCACCGGCCACAGTGGGGCCAGGAGGCGGAATGTTACCCAGTGTCCGAGGCAGGGGGGCCAGAAGTACTTGGAGAAAGTGAACAACTGCCCCCGTGGTCTTTTGCGGTGATAATGTCAGGCCCTTTCATTTCTGTAGCACCATGTCATTTTCTTCTTCTTCTTTTTTATCCTCAACCGAGGACATTTTTCGATATTTTGTTCAGACAGAGTGGGAGGGGGAGAGAGAGAGAGAGAGAAACATCGACGTGAAAGGGACACATCGAGTGGCTGCCACCCACACAACCCAACCAGGACCGGGGACAAACCGCAACTGAGGTACGTGCCCTTAGTGGGAACCGAACCCGGGTTTCTTCGGACCACAGGCCGAAGCTCTAACCGCTGAGCCAAACCGGCCAGGGTGTACTACATCATTTTCAAAGTATGACCACTGGGGTTGCTTTTGCTTGAGACACACCAAACTACTTCGCGGTGGTTTGTGAGTGAATAATCAAACAGATGAATGAACAGCCCTATTAGGTGAAAGGGACGAGGTTACTGATCCTCCTTACCTAATACAGAACTGAAGACACAAAAGACTGTTAGGTGGGTTGCCCAAGATCCCAGTGAGAATTCTCATTCAACATACCCCCATGACAAACCCTTTGCTCAGAATGTTCAGCTGAAGAAACTGAGGTTTTGTCCCTGAGTTAGAACTTGATGGTAAGCAAGCTTATGAGTTTCCCAACCTTTTGACTTTTAGACCAAGGATCCTATAGGTGTCTCCCTAAGGAACACATGTATTTCCTGTGCAAAAGGCCTTTCTTGTGCATTGGGTGGGATTTGGAAGGGATCGGGGAGGGTTGGAGAATGTCTTTATTCTCTGCCAGTTAGATTTTCTTTTGAAATGCAGCAAATAGTAGCCACCAGCAGAGGAACAGAATTTATAGAGACATCTAAGGAAGAGCGCCGAGACGTGGAATCAGGAGTCTGTTCTGATTCCGGCCTCCTCTGAATTTCAGGAAAGGAAGAATCGGGGGGCCTGAGCAAGCCTTTCCTTTCAGTGTGACCAGCTCCCCCTCCCCCCGCCAGCGGGGTTGCTAAGCAAGGCCGGTCACCCTCTGTGTGTGGTCATGCGCTCCAGCCTTCAAGTTCATGAGGACAGCAAAGGGAAAGTCTGGCAGAAAGACAGGCCCGGAGCAAGATCAGAAGTTCCAGGAGACTGAGAAGAGCCGGAGACCTAAACAGGCCGGGAGAGAGTGAAACCCTGCGACAGAGATGTAGCAAGTCACCCTGAGAGGTAGAAAAGAACTCTAAACCATCACTGGCTAATTATTCACATCTTCGGTTTTCCTTCGTAAACCCATCAGTGACCTAGCGGTTAAGACCGAGTTTTGCCATGAAATAAACATTATATTTGATTTCTGATTCTAACTTGCCTGGCTGGGGGACTTGGGTATGTTATTTCATTTCTGAACATCAACTTTCTCAACTGTGAAAATGGAATGATGTTGGCTCCAGCTTTGCATGTTTATTGTGAGAATTGTATGAGCTGGAAGATTTTAAGCTCTTAGTATGATGACCATGCAAAGTATCACTACTGGGAACATTTCCATTGTTCAAACAGAAAGTTTACTTAAAGGAATATATGTACTTTATAAAGTAATAAAATAAAAAATGGAAGGAAAAAAATAGTTACTGAGACTGGCAATAAAAAACAAAAGCAGCCCTGGCCAGTTTGGCTCAGTGGTTAGAGCATCGGCCTGTGGTCCAGAGAGACCCGGGTTCGGTTCCCGCTAAGGGCGCGTACCTCGGTTGCAGTTTGTCCCCGGCCCTGGTTGGGTCGTGCGGGTGGCAACCATTCGATGTGTCCCTTTCACGTCGATGTTTCTCTCTCTCTCTTCCTCTCTCTCCCTCCCACACTATCTGAACAAAAAAAAAAAAGGAAAAAAATAAAAAAATTAAAAAAACAAAAGCAAATAGGGATAAAGAAAAAAATGTATTTCTTAGTCTGGCAGACAGTGTTGGGATCTCTGTGGCTTCCTGGTCCCGTCCTCATCCCTCACTGGGGCTCACCTGGGGGTTCTCAGACCTTTGCAGAGGCAGCGGCAGCAGCTGGAGGGCTTACACCAGCCCAGGAGTCTACTTCGGTGGGTCTGGGGTGGGGCCTGAGAATGTGCATTTCTAACAAGCTTTCAGATGATGCTGGTACCACTGTGCAGGCATCAGACTCTCTAAACCACTGATAATAGGCACAGCCCTCTCTGGGCCACAGGCCAAGCCAGGTGTGAGGGAGGAACAGACCTGTCGTTTTGTTGGACATTTGGAATCTCAGTAACCGGGGTCTATGTTTCGGATATCTTGGGGCTGACCTGATGGTTTCTCTGTTGTCTCGGTTACCCACTGATGGCCCAGGTTGACCAGTGGCCTCTCGTGCCCTCCATTCTCCCTCCTGGTGGCAGGCAGTTCTGCAGCTTGAGCTTTGGCTTTGGTTCCGCGATCCCAATCTGTCCTCGCCAGCCGCCTCCCAGGGCTTGGAGCTCTGCCATCGGTGCATTCAGCAGATGGTGTGTGTTTCTGCCTTGTTTTTATTAGCTTCCTTTGCGGGGAACGGGGAACGGAGTTCTGGTCTTTGCTGGGCTGTGGGCGGACAGCCCTGCCCTTGGGCTGCCAGTTGGGCTTCGTCTCCTGGTTAGACTCAGCTATGCCCTGTGGGAAAGTCTGTGCCCAGTGGTTCCCTGTCTCTGCTGGGTTTGCTGCCGATGGTGGACTCTGACCTTTGCCTGTCTAGGCTACTCCCTGTTGATACCTAGGCCACCTCCTAGCATGAGCTCATTCTGTACCCTACTTTTTCTGCATTGCCCCAAGAAACTACCACTCAAGGGTCTTGAGGTGATGGAATTAAGGAATCATTCAATAACTATGTACTGAGCAGTACTGTGTGCCCTGCACTGCTTTCGGGATAACAGCACAGAAAACAGAAAATACCCCGTCTTCCATTCCAGTGGAGAACAAAGAGGAGCCAAAATGGTTAGATAAAGAGAAAAAAAGAAATCAGGAAAATGAAATAAAGAGTGCCGGGTGGCTCCCTTTCAAATAGGGGGACAAGACATTTGAGTAAAAACCTGACAGAGAAGAAGGAACAAGCCACCAGGATATCAGGGGATGTTAAGGAAAGTGAATGGTCACTAGTAATCCCTCACTATTGCTCAGCAGGCTCCTTGTCAGGCTCCTCCTCCTATTTCCAGTGTCCAATGACTGGGACACCGGATGTCCTAGGATCCATGCTCCTCCCAGCATGATCTGATTCATTCCTGTGGCTTCAAAAACCACCAGTATCCCACACACGCCAAAATTTCCATCTCCATCCTTGACAACTCCACTGAGCTCTGGACACACAGAGCCAACTGCTTACTTAACATCTCTACATGGATGTCTCAGAGATCCCTTCATCTTGACTTGTCCAAAACAGAAAGCCTGACTCTGGACCCCGCTTCTCCTCTGACCTTTTCCACATCGATCACTAACATCACCATCTACTCAGATGCCAAAGTCAAAGCCTGGAAGTCATCCTCAACTCCTCTTTTTTTTTTTACATTTCACATCCAATCCATCAACGATTTCACCTCTAAAACATAACTTGAACATGACCTTCTCTCCATCCCAGCCACCATCTCCCAGTCTAAGCTTTATCATCTCTCATCTGAAATTCCACAAAGGTCACCTGATTGATCTCCCTGCTTCTGTCTCTGCCCTTCAGCCAGAGTAATCATTTTAAAATGTCAGATCACATCACTTTCCAAATTAAAGCAATCCAGTGACTTCCCATTTCACCAAGACTCTGGTCCAAACTCGTTAGCATTGCTACAAGATCCTGTGGTCGGGCCCCGCCCCCTCCTGCCTTCCTCTTCCCCGTGCCCCTTCCTGCACTATGCTCAGTTCCCCTCTGATGGCTCAGGATGACCCAGGGCCTCTCATGCCCTTTAACAAGGCTCACTCTCTCTTGCCTTAGCCCTTTTGCACTAATTGCTCCCTCTGCCTGGAACTTTCCTGTCCTGGGCTTTCCCATGGTTGGCTTCTTCTTGCTATTCAGGTCTCAGATCGAATAGCCCCTCATCAGACAGGCCTTCTCCAACCTCGTTGAAACGGACACCCATTCTGTCTCCTTCTCTGCTATTTCTTTCCTGATATTTATTACTATCCGATTGTTTCTTGTTTATTTCTATGTCTATTGCTGGTTTCCCATGCATGTACACACACACACACACACACACACACACACACACGAAGCACCATGGGAGGTCCTTGTTTGTTTTATTCACTAATATATTTCAGGACCTGGAACAATGCCTAGCAAATGAACATTCAATAGATCGTGGTTGGATGGATGAATGCTCAGCATCTGATAAAAAGAGCTGCTCTCCACCACTGCCATCTCCCTGTGAAGGAAGGAATATTGACTCAGGGGAGGCGGAGGCAAGCCAGGACAGCGGCGAAGAGTGAACTCTGGAGTCAGACTGCCTAGGTTTCAATCATCCGTCCTCCGGGACTGTCCCCCTCAATCTCAATGTCCTTCTCTTCTAAGTGGAAATACTGTGGTCTATCCATACAATGGAATATTACTCACCCATAAAAAAAAATGAAGTACTGATACATACTACAATGTTGAAGAACCTCAAAAACATCATGCTACGTGACTGAAGCTGGGCACAAAAGACCACATATTATACAATCTGTTTATAAAAAATGTCCCAAACAGGAAAATCTAGACACAGAAGGCAGATTTCCAGGAACTGGAGGAAAGGGAAGCTGGGAAGTAACTTGTTAGTGGGCATGAGGCTTCCCTTGGGGGTGATGAAAATGTTTGGAACTAGATAGAAATGGTGGTTGCCCAACATTGTGAATGTGCTGAATGCCACTGAGTTGTTCTCGCGAGGTGGTCAATTTTATGTTAGGTGAATTTCAACTCAACTAAAAACATGGGGATTTTAACAGTGGTCTCTACTGCACAGGGACATCACGAGGATTAATTAAATGAGGTAATGCTGCAAAGTACTTCACACAGTACCTGACATTTGCTAAACAATTAAGAAAGTTTAGCCCTGGTTGGTTTGGCTCAGCGGTTAGAGCGTCGGCCTGTGGTCCAGAGAGACCCGGGTTCAGTTACCACTAAGGGCATGTACCTCGGATGCGGTTTGTCCCCAGCCCTGGTTGGGTCGTGCGGGGGGCAGCCACTCGATGTGTCTCTTTCAACGTCGATGCTTCTCTCTCTCCCACTCTATCTGAACAAAAAATGGAAAAATGTCCTCGGGTGAGGATTAAAATAAAAAAGAAAGTTTACCCCTGGTTGGTTTGGCTTAGCGCTTAGAGCGTCTGCCTGCAGACCAAGAAGTGGCAGGTTTGATTCCGTCAAGGGCATGTACCTCGGCTGCAGTTCAATTCCTGGCCCTGGTCAAGGTTGTGCTGGAGGCAACCAGCCGATGTGTCTCTCTTACATCAATGTTTCTCTCCCTCTCTCTCCCTCCCACTCTGTCTGAAGATAAATAGAAAAATATCCTTGGGTGAGGATTAAAACAAAAAAAAAGAAAGTTTACCTCTCAGTAATTAATTTAAGTAAATATAGCTTTATGAAACATCACATTATTATTTTTCTTTTTTCACATTTTTCTGTAGTGAGAACTGGAAAGTTTATCATGAATTCTCATCAGTCCACAAACCAGAATTTGAGATCCACTAAAATAAACAATTTTGAGAAATACAATCACCTTTTGCAAAAGGCCCATTTTAGAGAGCCATCCTAACTCACCGAATAAACTGAAAATGCAAAGGGAAGGAGCTTGTGACAGCAGTACTGTCTTGAGATGGACAGAAGCAAAGGCCAGGTCAGTAAATGTGAGCCATTCCGTTTTTCTTACTAAAGTGAGAATGGCAACACATACACACATTCCCAAACAAATAGCAAGCACAGTAGCAGGGGAAAAAACACTGTATTACCTGATCAGGAAAAACGTGTCGACCCCAAGATAGAATGGGCCACTCCGAGAATAAAAGTACAGTGGGTTTCTGAGCACTCTGGCTTTCCATTCAAGCACATTATCTGTAACAAACATAAAAAGTGGTGTCTATTTGTGTAATAGAAAAAAGTCATGTGACTTTCATCTTTTCTAAAAAAGCAAGAGAAACACTTTCAACTTTCAGTTGTATTGAGAGGGTTTTATGTGTCCTCCTAATTCACTTAAGAGGGGAACTTGGACCAAAATTAAAGGGCGTGACTGAGGTATCTAATTGTAACTAAGGCCTCGAGAGCCTTTGTGCTCTCACGGTGGCCTCGGCTCCCTTGAGGCTACAGCAGCATTACCTGTTCACGGAACAGTACCGATCTCCTGGGAGGTTCTTCACACTACCCTGGCTGCCCCCCAATTCTGATGCATATATTTGGCACCTGAGTGGAGCATACCACTGGGGATGTTTGATAGCTTCAGGACTGTGGCAACTGGGAAAGGCCGAGAAATATTGATTTTACAAATGTACACTATTTATTTATGCTTGTCTGTTTTTCTAGGAGAAAAAAAATAGTTAGTTTCTGGCTTCATGAATCATGATGAACAGGAAGCCCAGCTGTTTGGACAATGAAAATACAATTCTCAGGTATCACTATCCACCTGGTAGTCAAGTGCTTGATTTATACCTCGGAGAAGGTAAAGCAGCCACTGGACACTGGCCTGGAAAACTCATTTATGGGAGGTCACGGCCATGTCTCTAAAACAGAAGGAAAGCTGTGGCCTCCCATCCTATGGCCCAAAGTGACCCCCTCACACAAAAGGCACTCTCTTCCTGTCCACTCATAAAGGCTCAGCAGTTCTCCGCACCCAAAGACAGCCATGCGGCCATCTGACTGGTGTGCCCCGACATGATCCACAGGAGACTCAAGACTCGGATGCCATTCAACGCAGGGCATGAGCTTCCTGGCGTCCTGGTAGGCCAGATGGCCGGCACAGTCTTCTGCCAAGAGAAGCATTGCAGAGTATGGTCCAAGGCTCCTAGAAATCCTGGGCAAGAGCAGAGGTGTTACTGCCCCCCTGAAAGTCACACCAACACACATGCTGCCCCACAAGCAAGAGCCCAAACCCACACCGATGATCTTGGCTATCACCCAGACGCTCCCTCGCTGTGACCCTGGACTGCCCACCTCAGTTCTCCATCATCCCCTTTTGATCTATATGGTCCCAATGAACCTTGACTGTGCCTAACAGACGTGACTTAAGGTTGGCGCCGACACTGCCTTACACAGAATACTCTGCCCAGGTTCAGGCCCCAGGATGCCAACATCTGACCACAGTCCTGGGTTAGAAAGGGTTAGGGGGAGGGGAACTTAGACATCATTAAGAAACTACATGAGGCCAGCGTTTTGCTAGAGATGGCATCCCTGGTCCTCTCTCAAGAACAAACCACTTGCAAATAACATCCCTACCTGTCAAGGTACAGATATGAAAATAGAGAGGCAGGTGGCCCAGAGGTAAGGGGCAGGCCTTATAGTTAGACATTCCTGGCTCTGAGTCTGCTGTTACTTATTATCTCTGTGACCTTCACCAAGTGAATTGACTTCTCTGTGCCTAAGTTTCCACATCTGCAAAATGGGAATCTAAGTAGACCTTTAAACATAGGACCAATGTGAAGAACAAATGAGATAATATCATTGCTACTATGCTCACTATTTCAAGCCCTGTTGTTTTAAGAATAGTTAATCCCTCCTACTTAATTTACTCCCTTTATTTTTTCATTGAATTTAACTCATTCTGGGAGCCAATTAAGTGGCTAGAATTGTGAAGTGGGAGCCTAAAAACCTCAAGCTGCCTCCAAGAGACTCACATTTTCTCCTGGATGTAGCTTGGTGCCATAAACATCATGGGACCAGAAGTCCTTGCAGAATTAAACCTATTCACAAGTGAGAACTGGCTTATAACCACACTCTGGCAATCCAAATCAATTTCTTTTATTTTTTTTTTATGTTTTTATTGATTTTTTTAGAGGGAGAGAGAGATAGAAACATCGATGAGAGAGAAACATCGATTGGCTGCCTCCTGCACGCCCCCTACTGGAGAGTGAGCCCGCAACCCAGGCATGTGCCCTGACTGGAAATCAACCTGGGACTTCTCAGTCCATGGGACGATGCTCAATCCACTGAGCCACACCAGCCGGGCTAAATCAATTTCTTGAATGGAATAATGTAATTGCCTAACATTTTGAGGTTCCAGCCATAACTATGCGTTTTTCCACTGGAGTCGCTCTCGAGTGTGCCTGCTGGAGGCAGCTCAGCCTCTCGTTTCCAGGGCTTTGCACTCACTAGGACTTGGCAGAGCCCCAGCACAACGAGCAGTCCTACACCAGCGTCCCCTGGCTCCCCCCAAGCTCCCCAAGGAGCCACAGACTGTGGGGAGAGACATTGAATCTGGCCTCTGCCAAGCTCCACCAAGTTTCTTAGCCTCCCTGGGCCTATTTCCTCACTTTTACATTAAGCACACTTTTTGGCAGTGTTCTCGTGAGGATTCAAGACCGTTTGTCAGACATCTGGCCCAGCGCCTAGCTTGGCAAGCGAATACTGAATACATTTTGCTATCATTATTATTTTTTCCATCTAAAGTCTACTTGCAGGTCAACTTAACTAGCAGCAGCTTATAAAACCTTCTGAAAATAACTGCTCACTGGGGAAGACAGCCTCTCCGAGCACCACGTCACTCGCTCGTAAGTGGGAAGCATTATGAAGCGCCGAGCACAGGGAAGAGCGTGGGCTCAGTTCTCCACGTGGGGCTCCCAGAACTTAGCTGGAAAGGCACCATCTCAGGCCCCACCCCAGAACGACTGAATCAGAATCTTTGGGGTGACAAGCCCTCGGGAGATCTGATGTCCACCAAAGTTGGAGACGCACTGGCTGTACCAGGGCTTTAAAAACCCTGGCAGCTCCTCTGGAGTCTCTTGGTTATTATCACTGAGAGCCCACGGGGAGCCATGAACAGAGCGAGGGCCCTACCGCCAGGAGCTGAGATCCACAGCCATCTACTTCACAAAAACATCCTCAAACATTCGCTCCTATTTTTCTCATCTAAAGGGTGAAGGAGAGGTTCATGTAACAGGAAACCATGCTAAGCAAATGCAGCGATTATTCAGAGGGCCAAGAACCAGAAATCTGAAATGCCCAGTCTGGCTCCAAACCTCCAAAAGACTCAGGGTCTTAGTTTGATTTGACTTGCTGGTGAGTTAAAAGTGAAGAGAAGAAAATGCTGAACCTCAGGGCCTCTCCATATCGATGATTATTTTCAAACATTCAGGAATGTGATATTTTGCCTTGATGGTATGAAATACAAAAACAAAAATAACTGCTATAGCAACAGAACATGGAAACCCCCTACTTTGAGGCTACAGTTAAATATAGCTGCTCAAGAAGTGAACAAAACCTTAGTTTCGTGATCATAGAGAGGGTCATTTGGGGTGAAGAAGCTAACGTTTCAGTGGCCAATTTCTAACACCATCCCAGGTGTGTCTGCCCTAAATCCTGTGATCTGGCCTTAAAAAGCGGGCTCGCGGGATCACCACCTGCCGATGATCAGCAATGACGGATTGTGTCAACTGTAGGCTCCCCCCAGTGTGACAGTTAGAAGCATGCAGCAGGTCCCTGGAACCCAGTGGACCTCAGCCAGGTCAGTGCCGCAAGAGGTCTTGGCCCCTATCCATCCTCCCCTCTCCTGGCTTCACTGAAGAGAATTAGGAAAGGAGCAACAAATTAGGAGGAGATAAGTACATCATCTCATTTAATTCCTTCAACAAATCCCATTCTATGCCCCCGTTTTACACATGTGGAAACTGAGGTTCCTAGAGGTCAAACAACCTGACCAAAGGCAGAGTTAGACACCACGGCAGGTTTGAATGGGGACTGCTAAGTCTCAGCTCTTTTTGCCACACCCACTACACAACAGCCAGGGAGCTGGTCATGTAAGAAATAATTGAGGGGTTCTGAGCCTTGGGGGAGGTCATCATAACTGTTCCCCAAATCTGATGGGGCTGTAATCGAAACAAGAGAGCAAGTAGTTTTTTTTCTGAGGCTCCACGCAGCCAAACCAGGGCCCAAAGGTAGAAAATACAGGGCAGCAGGGATGGACCTGTACAGAAGACCAGCAACGAACCCTTCCCACTACTGTGGGGTCGCAGGGAGCCCCCGGGATGGCAGCCGGCTTCCAATCTGGGGACTACAAACTTGTTTTTCATTGACTATCTTATTGGGGTTTTTTGTTGGAGTGCTATTGTTTTTGTTTTTGCCTGAAGATCCAAACAGCATCTCATAAAATCATGACTGTGCATTCCACATTGGACGGACTCCCCGAAGCCACTCTATCACATATTCGTATTCTTCTGGTCCGTTCACTGAAATTTTGTTTGATTTTTATCCCCCTCGTTGGAGTAAATAAGGACAATCGTGTGGACCTACAGGGGCTCTGCCGGAAATTATATCACGTGTTCTAATGGTATTTGCATGACAAGGCTATTCTTGTTTCAGGGTGCGTGTGCATGCACATGCATGCGTGTGTGCATGTGTGCATGTGAATGTGTGTGTGTGTTCTCTTTGCTTTGCCATCTGGGCAGGTGCAAATGAAGGTAATGCTCTTGATTTTTTAACTAAAACACAACCCAGTGTGACTCACTGCCATTGCCCTTCACCACACTACGCCGGGATCCTACTTCTGGCTCAGAGACTCTCTCCGTGTTTTAAGCAGCTCGTTGCTTACTCATTGCCCTGGCTTTGTGTACATTTAAATCATTTACCTTGGCCATGCCAGGAAGGTTCTGAGTCATCTGTGTGCCATGACACTGCAAACAGACATTGTGATCATGGAACTGTTCCTTAGAGGGTTACTACCCAAGCTCGGGCTGACCTAGCCTTTGAGAAGCACAAACACACTAGATAATTGTCCCCAAGAAGTAAGGCAGCATTCTGAGTGACCCTGCCTTAACATGCTGATGGTGAACAAAGACTGGATTGTGCCGAGCAGAGGCCCACCCCCACCCTGGCACTCGGAGGCTGCGGGCCACTTGCTAGACGTTGGCACTGCGGGGTTCCTTTCCAGTTTCCTACTCTGAGTCCCCTCTCGCGAGTGGTCTTGGTTTGTTAAAATGCCTACTTTTTCCTCTGGTCGGGGTTCCAGACAGCGAGAGATGGGCCCGGCCACCCGGCCACTGGACTCTGTGTCTTGGTTCACTCCTGTCCGTCTCTCGCAAAGGCAGACTCCCATACGTGGCCGAGTGTGCCTCGGGTGGGGGGGACCCCCACCCCCTGGCTGCCACATATGCGGTTCCAGCCAGAGGAAGGGCGAGGCCAAGCAGGGTGAAGAACCTGCAGGGAGAAGACACACACGTGTGGCCGAGTCCTCCCTCACACCTGCACCACGATGCTGCGGAAAATGCAGAGAAACCGGCCCAGCAAACAAGACCTCCCAACCCCCTCCTGGAAGACAGCTCCCTCTTAACACTTCTAAGGGTTGGAACTAGCTTTCTTAGAATAAATTAATGAGAGAAATTACAAAGGAAAAGATTAATGGATTTCACTCAAGTCCTTATTATAATTATAAGAAAATCATAAACAGAGTGATGAAAACATCAGAAGATATTTGCAGCTGATATTACTAAGAAATTCATATATTGTATCTATATAATGAACTTTAAAAATCCATAAGAACCCAAATAACTCACACGTGGAAAAGGGACAGTAGACTATAAATAGCAGATAAGTAAACTTAGGAAAAAAAACCTCATTACCAATTTTTTCAAGTGTAAACTAAACCAACTTATTTATCAAATTGGTAGTTTTTTTATTTTTTAAAATATTTACTGATTTCTTTTTTAGAGCGAGAGAAAGGGAGAGAGCGATAGAATCATCGATGCGAGAAACATCAATCAGCTGCCTCCTGCACGCCCCCTACTGGGGATTGAGCCAGAAACCCAGGCATGTGCCCTGATCTGGAATAGAACTGGGACCTCTCAGTCCACGGGACACCGCTCAATCCACTGAGCCACACTGGATGGCAGTGTTTATAAAGATGGCTTTCGATGCTGGTGACAGAGTGATGAAACAGAGGCGTATATCTCCTAACAGGGGGGCAGTTTGAATGAGGTTTTCAGGAAGGCACCTTATCAAATGATTCGAGCTACAGGCCAGCACTTCCATTAGTCTCTCCTCAGGGGAAGGCAGGATGCAAACAGGAAGGAACAGGCTCCACTGCCGAGGTGCTTGTGAAAGCAACCAGGCCTCAAATAAGGGAGGTTCATCTTGGAGGTCACATGATAGGACCAGGAGAATTCGGGTCGGGATACACCTCTCAGTGGCGCTGAAACCCAGTCACCTTTGGGTGTGGCCAGCCTTCCTCCTGAACACCTGCATGTTCTTGTTTCAGGCAAATGCTGATCTCCCTGCACACAGGGAGCAGGGCCGGACAGCACTCGCTGACTGAGAAGTCAAGGCTGAGTGTCGCTGGCGAGTCGGGGTCGGCTCAACAGCCCCAACGTACACATCCCAGCCGACGTACACTACAGGCACCGCAGGTCCCGTACTCACAGACACACAGCAGCAAACGTGTCCAGGGGGAACATTCCGGCGGCACATCTGGCCACGGCCACACCAGATGTGGAGGACACATTCCTTGTAAAGAGAGAGAGAGACGGAGCCCAAAACGAAACATTTCTGAATCTTAAAATGCCTACCAAGAAGGGAAAAAAGGATTGTATTAATAAGGCTTTTCTTGCCGATAAATATTTTCTACTTTTCCAAGAGTCTTCATATCTCTTATTTCAAAACAAATTGTTGGCATCAAAAAGGACAGCTGGCTTTTAATATCTCTGATTCACAGATGGATGGGGAAAATGGAGCACAGTGATGCTGAAACCCACAGAACTAGGATCACTGAGCCCCGCTGGAGGTGGCCACGGGCTCCTGACTTCTCTGCCCAGACTCCCACGTCCGTTCCTAGCGCACAGCACTGGGGATGCCAGTCCCGAGCCATCGCCAGGCTGGGTCTGCTTGTGAGCAGGTCCCCACAAGAGTGATAAACGCACGGAGATGGAGTGATGCAGTGGAAGCCCACAATGTGATGGGGAAAGGGATGGTCTGAAATTGAAACTAAAAAGCACCATTTAGGACACAGCTAATTAGTCACCATGAGAGCGAGTTTGTAAAGATATTAGTGATGAGACCAGGGCAGTGGGCTCAGACGTCACTGTGCCTCAGAATTACCTGCAGAGCCTGGTAAACGGATGCTCCCTGCAAGTATCTCGTCCAGGAGGTCTGGGCTGGGCCCTGAGAACCTGCATTTCTAACAAGGTCATCAGAGTATACACTTTGAGAACCTCAGAACCAGGGGACCTCCAAAACCTCCACAAAGGATGAGGGACACAGTGTGGTTTAATAAAATGGCAACATCAACTCTAAGTAACCAAAAAGGCTGCGTTTAAGTGCCCACGAGACATAAGACATATTTTGGTCATTATTTCTAATCCATCCACAATCCTACAAGGACCTATCTTTCAACTTACTTTACAGACAAGGACAAATCTCCTCAGATAAGTTCGTGAACTTGAGCATAAAGGTTAGGGATACAGGTTCTGCAACTTGGGAGCCCGGTCCTCCCCTTACTGTATACCACGGGCAAATTACTTTATCACTCTGTGCCTCAGTTTCCCCCTAGGTAAATACCTACTTCATAGGGCTGTCTTGAGAACTAAAGGCAGCAATGGCTATAAAGTGCTCAGAAGGTACCCGGCACGTAGTAAGAGTTCAATATATGTTGGTTGTCTTATTATTGCCGCTCAGTGGCAGGGCCAGAACTCAGCCCAGAGCTGTATGAACTTGAAGAATGTGGTTTTTCTGTTCCCTCATGCTACCTTATCTGGCCACACTACACTGCCTAGTCTTGCATCCAGGAGGCGTGGGTCTGAGCCACCTGGCTGTGTGACCCTGGGCAAGTCACTTTACCTCTCTGGGTCTCATTTCTTTATCTGCATAATAAGGAAGGGTGGGTTGGACACAATGTATTCTGATGCCCCTTCCACCCCAATACCCACTGTTCCCATAAGTCTGACCAAAGGGCTTCTGAAATGTCCACAGCACTTGCTCTGAATTGCTACACCCCAAGCCACTTCCTGGTAGTATTTGACATTCCCAAATAAACTCTTCCACGAAAAGAGAAGTGTACTGACCAGTGACACGTCTGTCCCCTTGGAAGTTACTTTTCTAATTTACAGGAATCAACTGGCATTTGTTAATCAACCACTCATTCATGAGCCTCTGGGCCGTGAGAACCAGGCCCCCAGCCTGATGACCCTGTGTGAACAGAGAAAACCAACTTCCTGGGCCGGCAAAGCGAAGCCCAGCTCCGTCCCGTGGTGTCCCTCTGCAGACACCCTGCGAGGCCCAGCAGCGAAAACCTTCTAGTGCAGTTGGAGGCCGCGGGGAAATTCAACATCGAGATGTGAAAGCTTTGTAGTTTATCTGAACTGTTGAAAATATATATATGTATATGTATTTTCCCTGAGGCCCTGCATGCAACAGAAAGTAGGAGACAACAGAACTAGGAACAAAAAATAAAGTAAACCTCTGGACTTCCAGACAAAATTTCCTTCACCTTCTACTGTTTTTAAAAGTGTAGTTTGTTATATCTAAATCCTCCCTTCCCAAGAAGCATGGGCTTAACAACAGCGGAAAAATGAACCCCCATTTTCTCCAATGGTCTAAATCCTAGAGCAGCCACCTCCCAGGCCAGAGCCGAGCTATCTCCCTCCCAGGCCCCGCGCCGAGCTACCTCCCAGGCCCCAGCGCCGAGCTACCTCCCTCCCAGGCCCAGCGCCGAGCTACCTCCCAGGCCCAGCGCCGAGCTCCCTCCCAGGCCCCGCGCCGAGCTACCTCCCAGGCCCCAGAGCCCAGAGAAGCAGGTCACAGCAGACCCGACTTGCGTTGCCCCCAGGAACCTCCTGCACAGCCATTTGTCCGCTGGAGGATGAAGCCTGACAATGTTGAGCAACAGTGTCCAGAGCCTGAGGGACACAGGAGCCCCGGACCCCGCTGCTGAGCAGGCAAGCCTGGACGTGGATAGCTCCTCAGGGCCACGGGTTGACACTGCCCACTACCCCATGGATGGTCGGGACTGGATACTCACAAAATGATGTTCCTGGCTCCTCCCAGCTCCATCACCATAACCACTTTGGAGTGTGGCAGTGACTTTTAAACCTCGAAATAGAAGCCAGATGAATGCTGGAAGTGTGTGTGTGTGTGTGTGTGTGTGTGTGTGTGCATGTGTGTAGGGGTAACTTGGTTACACTGAAGGCATTATCAGCTTTGGCCTTCAGACTCGTCGGCCCATCCCTTACATTCCTTCCTGGGCAGGAGCACATGGGGGTTCCACAGAGTCCCACCCCCAGCCCCCCGCCCCTGGCCCACTCCTTTCTCCTCCCAGTGTGGGCAGCCTCAGCTCCACCGTTAACTCCACCTCCCCTGAAGTCACTCCTTAGAGGGGGGCCGGGAGCCAGCTGGGCAGGAATTCCAGGTCCTAGACACTCAGTGTGAACTGGAAGGGAAGAGGCAGGCTCCAGGTTGGCAGGTCTCCTTGGCCCTACAGACATCTCATCCAATAGGGGGCAGCTAGAGGAAGGCCAGAGGACGGTCCCTAAAGTGTGGAGCCCAGGACAGGACCCTAGTTCCTAGGTCTGGGGGCTGCACTGTGGACACCACTGCCTCCTTCTCCGGAACACCCACCCTCCTCTCGTGTTAATCACGGGACTCTAGGATCCTAAGGGGCAGGAGGGGAAGAGAATCAGTAGCACAGAACTGAGCCCTAGAGTTCCTAAAATCAAGTTCAGAGGTGCTCTGAAAAGGGACCATTATGGATTGAATGTGTCCGCCCCACACTCAGGGGTTCCTGCAGTACCCGAGAAGGTGACTGCATCTGGAGTCAGGGCCTTCAGAGAGGCGATCGAGTTCCAGTGAGGACACTAACGTGCGCCCTGGTCCAATCCAACCCGGACCCTATGTGATGAGGAAACGGGCAGACGTGAGCACACAGAGGAAGGGCCGTGCAAAGGCACCGTGAGAAGGCCATCTGCAAGCCAAGGGTAGAGACCTCAGGAGAGTCCAACCCTGCCCACACCTTGATCTTGGGCTTCCAAAAATGTGAGAAATAAACTCCTGTTGTTTGAGGCCCTGGGCTGCGGTGTTTGGCTAAGGCGGCCCTGGAAAACTCACACAGGAACTCATCAAATCGCTGTGCTCAACAGGGCAGCACTGGGCAGGGAGCCAGGCCGACTCAGGACGAGGCAGCTCAGGGCCGGCTGGGTTGGCTGGGCCCGAGTCCATGTCCTCAGCCCAGCAGCCTGAGAGGCACCCGCACCCGGCTCGGAATCCTGCCATGGTCGAGAGCACAGTCAACCTTAAATGTCTATCTACACTGCCAGACGCTAGGTCCACCCAGGGGAAGACGAAACCTTCCCAAATCTTTACTAACTCGGGCCAGCTGAAGCCATCGCTATAAATGTCCCCTCTTCTCCTCCCCAGTGTGGCTCTCTTCCCTCTGGCCCAGAGCCCCTCGCCACACCAGCCTGTCCCTAGCACTCAACTTGACATTGACCATTTATTTCCCAGGAGCCTCGGGCACTCTTCTTACTACCTGGATAATAGGTTTCCCCAAATGACGAACTCCCAATTCTTTGGATTGTCCCCCTGCACACATGTGCAATGTCACACACAAGGGCTGCTGGAAGAGTGTTCGATAAATCCTTTCTGAATTACACTGAGAACAGGAAATGGTATTCTGTGCAATGTTTTCGATTCCTTTTGAGTTCTTAATCAGAGAGGTACTTCTGTGGGTAGTTCAAGGAGTTCTTACCCGAATAGCTCCATTGTCTCAACCACACTTGGGGACTCCATCAGGGAGAGTCGTGGGGGGAGGTCATCCCTTGTAGTTCTAGCCCGTTGTTCTACTAGGGAGGCCTGTGGTTTTTATTATAATCAGCAAAGCAAGATGAGATTAGCCTAACAGAGCAGGAGAAAGGGGGCAGTTTATAGCTTATTGTAAGGGGCCGTTGGCCATTGAGTATAGCAGCTTAGTACTCATTGCTTTGGACCAGTGCAAAGGGAGACAGTGTAACCACCCAGTGATGTCCTAAAATTTCTATCAGGGCAGGAGACAGACCAAGAAAGAGTCCCCTATTTCTGCAAGCATGCAGCCCTTCAAAGCTGAGTCTAGATAAAGTTTACTGACTCAGTGTTAGGAGATCCTTAAACCAAGCTCCTTCTTTTTCATTCTGTGTTGTCCCTGTGACCAGGTAAGGTCATTGGCCTCACAATTAAACTTTGGTCAGATTCATCTAATGTTGCTCAAACATGTTGTAAGTGCAGGACCCTGGGCTAAGTGGCTGAGTCACCACCCTCCCAATTCCATGTTGTGTTTAAGGGATTTCAGATAATCCAGCCAAACTAGGAAGCTAGGTATTAGGTAGTTTTCTGGGTTGAATTATGTCCCCACAAAAGGTTCAAACCCTAACCCCTGGGAACCGTGAATGTGATTTTATTTGGAAATAGGGTCTTTGCAGATATAATCAACTTAAGATGAGTTCATACTAGGTTAGGTGGACCCTACATTCAGTATGACTGGTGACCTCATACAAAGAGGGAAGTTTGCACACAGAGAGACATGTAGAACAGAACTCCATGTGATGACAGAGCTAGAGATTGGAGTGATGCAGCTGAAACTGCCCAGGTAATAGTGTTTTGTTACAGGATGCAGGGGAGGAGCAGAACACTCCACCACCAAGTGCCTAAGAGAATTTAGGCAGGGGGCTTGGCTCAGAGAGAAATCTATTACCAGAGATAACTTTGATCTGAATACCCCATCTGTACGGCAAGGCAAACATCTAATTACCAAACATCTGTTCTTCTTCTTATCCTGGGAATTACTCTTCTCTCCTTTGAAGCCCCAGGCCCCATCCCACTCCTTAGCCCAAGATGGCATATAAGCCCCAACTGCCCAACTTGCCCTTGGGCCTCATATTTTTATGGGGCTCCCATACCTATGAAATTAAAATTTTGTTTTTCTCCTGTTAACCTGTCTTCTGTCAATTTAATTAGACCAGTCAAAGAACTTAGAAGGGTAGAAGGAAAATGTTTTCCTTCCCAACAATCCCTAGGAAACGGAGCACAGTGACACCAAAATAACGCAGATATGAATTGTTAGGGCCTGTAACTGGGTTTGTAATCATCACAACCAAATTTTATCTAGAATCTCAACACTCTGGTGTTACATATTATCACTCTCGGGAACCCACACAAAGTCTGTTGGTTGAAACTTTATAACACCCTACGGCAACCACACTGCAGTTTTTTGCGGTATGTTCTGCTCTGCCCAGTCTTTTTTCCTCTCCCTGCAATACTGGGCTCATTTCTTTTTGGCTCATCTGTATGGTCTCCATGTGTTAACTCCCTGCCTGCCTGCTCCAGGAGATGAAAGTCTGCACATACAGCTTCCTCCTGAGATTGCTGAGCCAGTTACCCCCACCTCTGTAAGGGACATATTGGCAACTCCATCAAAAAGCTTTAAGGAAGAGGGGACAAATCCTTTACAGATGGGAACCTTTCCCCTGAGCCGAGACCCTCTCGTTTCTGTCTGCAGCCTCTGTGCAATGCCTTTGGCAGTGAAGACGAAATTGTATCCACCCAGTCAGCTCTGCTCACCCTAATCCTTTTCCAGTTCCTCAGAGAATCACCAAAATATCTTTGTAAAAGAACAAATTGGTGGTCACCAGACTGGAGGGGGTTGGGAGGGTGGGTGAAAACAGTGAAAGAGATTAAGAAGCACAGATTGCCAGTTATTAGAACAGTCAAGGGAATGTAAAGTGCAGCATAGGGAATAACATCATAATAACTATGTGTGGTGTCAGATTGGCACTGGACTCGTTGGGGTGATCACTTCATAACTTATACAAACGTCTAATCACTATGTTGTATACTTGAAACTAATATAATGTTGTATATCAATTGTAATTGAAAAATAAATAAAAATATCATTGTATTGGTAATAGTTTCTAAGCTCTTATTTTATTCTAATGTCAACTCTGACTAATAAGCTTAGCATTAAAAAAAACTAGGCTGATTGATAAAATCTCTTAAATGATATGAACATAAACTCAGGGAGTCATTTATTCACTTGAAATGCTAATTTAATAGCGACTCTGCAAATTTATCTTTGTTGCTAGGATATTTATGACTCACTCAACAAGAGTTGAAATTTAAATTTGATTTATTACAATTGGGGTTTTTTTTACCAGCACACAAATATTTGGCTAGATAAATAATGTACCTGAAGCTCTAGAGATAATCATAAATTCAGAGGACAATTTAAGGTTATTGAAAACCAACTGCATATAAACACTTAAAAGAGGACTTTAAATAATGGGTGTGATATTGTGATATAAATATATCTTTGGTCTTCATCCTTAGTTCATGATACAGGGCTCCTAAAGCCCTTGGAATTTCCTGAGTGTCAGGGGTGAGAGGAACACCTGCTGTTATTCATAATAAGCTCCTTTCAACCACATTTGAGTTTATGCTAATAGGGTGACTCCTGGAGGCTGAGGGCCCCTTGCCCAAAGAACCAACCACGTGACTAGAGTGTTGGAAATTTCAGCCCCATCCCTGACCTCTAGGGAGGAGAGAGGGGCTGGGGATAGAGACAATCACCAGCGGCCAATGATTTAGTCCTGGATGAAGTGGTTCAGCCTGCTGATGAACATGTGAGGTGCTGGGAGGGTGATAAACCCTCAGAGGGCACGGATACTTTGTGCCCCTTCCCACATGCCTTGCCCAATGCATTTCTTCTGCTTGGCTCTTCCTGAGTTTTGTCTTTTGTAATAAGCCAGGGATAGTAAGCGAAGTGTTTCCCTGAGTTCTGTGAGCCATTAAAGCAAATCATCAAACCTGAGGAGGGTGTCATGGGAACCCTGATTTGCAGCCAAGTCAGAAGTGTGGGTAGCCTGGGGACCCACTACTTCCAATTGGCACCTGAAGTAGGGGGCAGTCTTTTGGGACTGAGCCCTTAATCTATCTGTAGGGTCAGCACTACCTACAGGTAATTAGTGTTAGAACTACATAATGTGAGGGGAAAACCCACACATTTGGTGTCAGAAGGGTTCTGGGAGTAGAAAAACAGTGTTTTTCTTTTAAAAATATTTTTAAAAATTGATTTTAAAGACAGAAGAAGGGAGAGGGAAAGAGAAAGGGAAACATGGATATGAAAGCGAAACATCCATCAGCTGCCTCCCGCATGCCCCCTACCAGGGATGGAGCCCACAACCAGGGCATGTGCCCTAACCGGAAATCGAACCAGCAACCTTTGGGTGCACAGGACGATGCCCAACCAACTGAGCCACGCTGGCCAGGGCTGTCGTTAATTCTTATTTGGATAATCAGAATAGACACAAGAATCATAGCAATTTTAGGCTTTAAAGCTCTTCCTTTGCGTTTTGAAAGAGTTAGAGGGTATCAAACCAGCTTTCATGTGGACTCAAATGCATTCATTCTCCATTGTTAAGGTCTGCAGTGATCGGAAGGCCACAGAGAGTTGGATCCAGACTTAATGTCCTTGTCCACCCCTCTCTGTACAGAGGAAGAGAGGGGAGTATGGGGACATTAAGCGATTTACCCAGGATCACACAGCTGGGGGTGACAACCAGGACCAAAGCTGGGCGCTGACCCCTAACCATTACCACACACGGGCCTCCCCCAGTCCTAGCTCAGCACGGCGTTCTGGATGTGGCCGCCGACAGACCTCCACACAGGGCCCAGCACAGCACACTGCGATACAGAAACCAGACCACCTACCTCCTCTCCTAAGCCCAACCCAGAGCTGACTGCGAGGGAAGATTGTTTCCATTTAAAATTGTATCACAGAAAGATTCAGCTCCTATCTCCTCCTCATTGTCTTTCTCCCTCTTCCTACCTTCTCCCTTCCTGCGCCTCCCACCACCCCCAAGACCCCCAAAATTCCATTCGTCTCGGCTTACTGCACTTATAAGGATGGAAGCTTGGTTCGATCCTGACAGAATGGCCTGTCTTGGCTTCGAGGACTTGGGGTTTTTCAAACTTTATGCTGAGACAGTAGTTTCCCTGGGTGTTCCTTGGGACCTACCCAGCTGAGACATTGCAGTCACGTCCTCTTCCACACAAGAATCAGGGACACACACGCCCACGCTGTAGGCAGCTCCATCCTGGGAACAGAAGGCCGCAGCGTTCCTTAATGTCAGTGTTCGTGGAATATGTGCGGGACGGTTTCTAAGCAAGGCTGCTGCCGCACTACCCACGAACCAAGTACATGGGGAAGAGAAAGATACTAGAAGAGGAAGCCGTTTATTGGCGTCTTTGGAGATGGCTTTTCCACAATAGGAGTTCTGGGGAATTTACAGAACGGCAGATGCACCCATATTTAAATTAAAACATGCTCGAAGGCTTAATGTAGCTGATTATTTAGAAAGCAGCCCCCCAGGGTGGGAAAGTCCACCCCAGGACATCCCTCTCCCGGACTGCAAGTTAATACTCCTACAGTGCTCAGCCATACTGCCAACTTGTCATTTCTTCATAGAACATTTTACTAATACATCAGGCCAATAATTAGAATGTCTGTCCCAATAAAGCAAAGGTGGAATTATAAATAAAGATTTCTGGGTTGCATCTAAACATATGACCTGCATGATTGTGTAGGCCTGACCTTTTGCTCTGATATCAAAACCATTCATCCGCTTTGAAAATAGGGTATGACATTTGTACACACTGATTAAACCCTGAAGCGATCATCATAACTCTCAGGGGGACAAATGGAGCTGGGTGAGACTCTTCCTATGTCCAGTGGTTAACCATTGTAAGACAGTTTTATAGTGTTAATATCCAAGAGCTTGGATTTCTTATTGTTTTATATTGTTGTGATCAGTCAACCAGTGATTATTTTCTGTTAGCGTTGTGATGTGCATAGCCTATCTTTATATTTAACAGGAAGCCATGTTTTCACTAGTTTCCCCTCCCCCACCCAGCAGTAAAAGAATTAACATGCTTTGCCCTGGCCAGTTTGGCTCAGCAGTTAGAGCGTCGGCCTGTGGACCAGAGAGTCCCAGGTTTGATTCCTGCTAAGGGCATGTACCTCGGTTGCAGTTTGTCCCCAGCCCCAGTTGGGGTCATGTGGGTGGCAACCACTCGATGTGTCTCTCTCACATCAATATTTCTCTCTCTGTCTTTCCCCCTCTCTCCTTCCCACTCTATCTGAAGAGAAATGCAAAAAAGTCCTTGGGTGAGGATAAAAAAAAAAAGATTTTGCATGCTTTGAAGATCATGAGCCCTATGACTTCAGGCAGCTGAGTTAGTGATGTGGTCATAGAAGTCCCAGCCCATCTGCTAGGATAATCTCAAATTCCTGCCTTGTAGCTCTGTTTCTGGGACAGGATTATGGGTAACAGGAAGTCCCCCCTCCCTCTGGTATTTCAAAAGCAGATGGTAAGTCAGCATTAGCCCAGGAACACTGGCTGGGACTTGACCGTGGATTCCCCACGGAGGTCCTCCAGAGATCCTGCCCCATAGAAGAGGCTAGGAGGAGCACTAACTGCCTCCTGGAATGTCCCACGCTCAGAACACACAAGCCACTTTCTGCCACGGTTTAAAATTGAGTTTTCACATTTTGTAAAACATCTTAATCGTTTGTGTTTTTTTTAATTAAGCAAAGCAGGCGGTGGAGTGGTCATGGGTCCGCAGCATACCATTTCCTCGCAGAGCACGCGCGTGGGGCCCGGCTCACCTGCAGGACATGAAGCTTGCAGTACTGGCCCTGGAAGCTCCCGGACGGAGCGCTGGCCGAGAGGCACTCGCTGGGGCATCCCAGCCTGTCCACGTTTCCACCGAGAACGTTGCTCCCAAGTTTCCCGACGGAATCGTACACTGCATTTCAAAGCAAAAGAAGTGGGCAAAGTTAGCTTCCCTGTGTACTGTCAAATGAATTTAGCCCTGGCCGGTTTTGCTCAGCAGTTAGAGCATCAGCCTGTAGTCCAGAGAGTCCCGGGTTCGGTTCCGCTACTTCAGTTGCAGTTTGTCCCTGGCCTCGGTCCTGGGGTCCTGTGGGTGGCGACCACTCCATGTGTCTCTCTCATATCGATGTTTCTCTCTCTCTCTCCCTCTCGCTCTATCTGAAGATAAATGTAAAAATGTCCTCGGGTGAGAATAAAAAAAAAAATGAGTTTAGAGGCACTCAGTTCCACCATTGAAACCTGTTGAAGTTAAATGACCGACGACAGGAAACAGGTACGGCTGTCACTCTGGGTGTCTGCATTCTGCAGCCACAGTCCACTCATTGTGCTCTCTTGTCACTGGACGTGTCTCCTCTCATTTGCAGGTGTTCTTGTTTGGTGTATTTTTAATTTAGATAAGTGACTTTGTGTCTCAGATCTCCTGCTTCTACATACGTCACTCCGTGCTACATGTGTCCTCTTCATGGTGTGACTGTGCTGATCTAGTCCAGAGAGTCCAACTGCCATATAATCATTCATCACCATCATAGACTTAGCCACTCCCCAGGCAGTGGACACATAGATGGCCGCCAACCCACAAAAACTCATGGAGACAGACATGTTTCAAATGTGTAAATTATATGGGAGGGACACTGACTTCATTTTTGTATTAAGCCATCATTGGCCATCATGCAATTCACCCAAATCTTCTTTTGTGTCCTTACTTACAATTTTATATTTCTCCTTGGTAATCTGAAAACAGATTACAAAGACAATCTGTAGCTGGCTATTTTCCTTGGTGTTTTATTTTTTTATTTTATTTTCCAATTGACCATTGCTGGTGTGAAAACATGCTATTGTTTTTGTTATTTGTCCTGGTATCTGGTGAATTTGCAGAACTTTCTTATTATTTCTGCACTTTTGTTTCTTCCTTTCTCATTCTTATACTCCTTCTTTCCCTTCCTTTTTGGTCCTACCCTTACAGACTCTGACGGGACCCCGCAGGCTGCTCCCACTCTACCCTCCCAAGACTGTGAAGTGACGTCAGCCCTGCCCCAGGCCTAGGGTGGAATGAGTCAAAGCCCAAGTCAAAGCCCGGCCTTACCCTGTGGTGCTCCCCTGAGAGGCTGTGCAGCGACCCTACCCTGGAGACTGTCTGGACCTGATCAGTTCTCAACCTAGCAGGTCTTTGACCCTCCTCTCCATCCTGAGAGCTGCCCCTCCTGTCTGCTGATCGACTCTGCTTTTTGCTGAAGCCTGCCAGAGCCGGAGTCTGTGGTTTCACCAAAGACGCCTTCCTAACTGGTGTCCCCAGGGACCCAGCCTGTCAGCATCCAGAATCTGCCCCGGGGAAACACAGAAGCACACACTGCAAGATGCTAGTAAAAGCAAAACGTTGGAAACACACTATTAGGTTGAACCATGTGAAAATGCCATTTCATGGGACAAAAACCATTCAATGTCGGCAATTTCACAAAGTTCAACCTCTGTCAGAAAAAGTTTAAGTGAGCTCTGGCACGTTCATATCTTATAATGCTATAGGCGACAAGGAAAACGAGACCGACGTACATTTGCTGCTGAAGGAAATGCTCCAAGACATATCATTACGTGAAAACAAAATTAGTTTAAGAACAATAAATATATTTTTCAACTTTACGAAGCAAAACAATATCTTTCTAGTGGATGTACAAACGTTGAAAACCTAAAAATTATTTATTTCTGGAGTTTTCCATTTGATATTTTCTAACCAATGTCAACCTTAGGTAACTGAAACCACAGAAAGCAGCACTGACAATAAGGAGAAGCGACTGTAATAAACAATAACACGTGTAAACAATCGGAATACATCTCTCTCGCTCATTTGCACATTGTCAACGCTGCTTGCGCAACACAGACTTAACTCAGAGATGCTGCGAGCTGGTTCTGCATCACCGCAATAAAGCGAGTCGTAAGCTTTTTGCTGGTGGAAGGTCTTGCCTGCAATTTGTAAAAATCACAACACCTGTGATGCGCACTAAAGCCACGTGCAATAAAACAAGGTATACCGGTAGGGGACTGAGTAGTTTCAACAGAGGCTGTATGGCCCACAAAACCAAAAATATTTCCTATCTGGTCCTTTAGAAGAACACTTTGCAGAACTCTCATCTAGAGCTGTGATTCTCCACGCTGGGCAGACATTAGTATCACCTGGGGCGTTTTTAAACTTTCCAATGCCCAGGCCACCTTCACAAAGGGTTACTTCATTGCTCAGGGTGGAGTTTGGGCATGAACTGTTTTTGCACAATTTCCCAGGTGCTCCCCTGTGCAGCCAGGCGTGGCCACTGTGATCTTTAGGATTAATTCCAGACTCCTGAGCCTGGTTTCAAAGGCCCTGCGTGACCAGACCTGTTTCTCCAGTCTCATCCTCCCACACCCCTTTCCTCTGCTCCTTACACAGGTCGCACCAGGCCCGCACTTGTCTGCCCTTCTGCCTGGAATGTCCCTCCTTTGAGTGCTGGCTGAAGGACACCCCCACCCCACACCGGTCAGGAGAGACTCCAGACTCCCGCTCAGCGCACCACACCAAAAGCCATGCTGTTGTTCACCTGTCTGTCTCCCACGTGAGAGAGGGGCCGTGTCTTCATTAATGGATACCTTGGAAGAGGAGCTCCATAAACATTCGCTGGATTAAACGAAACTTTGAAAAAATTAAGTTCTAATATCCCAAATCCAATTCCATGAATGTACTTTGAAGTCCTCCCCATGTCAAGAAAAACAATTTTGAAAGCTGCATGTATTTATTATAAATAGACTAAATGATTTCCCAATCCCATTCTCTATCACTATCTGTGTATCTGAAATTCTGCAGCCTGCAGTTTAAGGCTCTGGAACTACAAGGGTGAAAGGAGATTAAACAAGACAGGTGTGGATACCGAGCTCAAGAGATGAAATGTGAATACTGAGGGACACTCAATTCATCACTTTGGAAGATTAAATTCTAGTTTTCTTTCCAATTGCTGTTTTGTTTTGTGCACTGGTTTCCTTGGGTGGGATTTATGGTTTTCTGGCTGGGGTTATTTTGTATGCTGCAACTGTTCAATTGCATTAGCTTCCTTTCTGATTATAAACACAAATGGACAAGTTGCCCTTTTCCTGCCTTATCCTTAATTATTTTCTGTCAAGGGCCTGAGATGCCTGGTTATGGGCACCATCCAAATCAAAATCCATTGTAATCGTCATGAGAGGGAGGAACAGAATAAACTAATGATTAATCCCACCTCCTACTTCAAATCACATGGCAGTTGTTCCAAGTTTTCATTACAAAAAGATTAAAAATAAGCCGTTTCAATTCTGCTGGGTTAATTAGCAGACACATTTTCTTTTTCACATGATGGCAATGATATATGGGTATTAAAATGCAGAGTTGATTAATTTCTGTATTTAAATGGAGGAAAGCAAGACTTCAGCCAATGGTCTTAACTTTTTTTTTTTCCTTTATTGATTCTAGAGAGAGGAAGGGAGAGGAAGGGAGAGATAGAAAGATCAATGAGAGACAACATCAATTGGCCACCTCCTGCATGTTCCCCAATGGGGATCAGGCCCACAACCTGGGCATGTGCCCTGACCAGGAATTGAACCAGCGACCTCTTGGTGCATGGGTTTGATGCTCAACCACTGAGCCACACCAGCTGGGCAATGGTCTTAACTTTTAAAATACAGATGTACCTATACTATGATGTTGAAGACAGCAGAAACTTCTAGAATGCTAAGCCACAAACAGATCCTGAAAGTGATGATTACCTTTAGCATTAATAGCAACTACGTATTAAGCACCTAGCAGACCACTGCATTATAGTGGAGGATTTTATAAATGAGAATTGAATAGTCCTTGCCCTGTCTTTGATGATACAGGGCCTGTGTCAAAAATGCTAACCATCTGTTGCCAGAGATCCCTTGCCAGGAAGAAAACGATCGGAACGTGCTAGCGATCTGATTTCAAGCTCCTGAAGCAGGTTCTTTGCAGGCACCCCCTGGAATTCCCCCTTGTGCCTGGTCAACCGTTACTCGTGGACTTGCAGAACAAGGACAGCATGGGTATTGGTTTTCTGTGATGGCTGTAACAAATCTCCGCAGACTGGGTGGCTGTGAGCCACAGACAGCTATTTTCTCACGGGGTTAGAGGCTTGAAGTCCAAAGTCAATTTCACTGGGTTGAAATCAAGGTGTCCCCAGGGCTGCTCTCCTGGTGGCTCCAGGGGAGACTCTATTCTTTGCCTCTTCCAGCTCTGGCCGCTGCTGGCGTCCTCGGCTCGCGGCCACGTTACTCCAGTCTCCAGGTCTAAGGTCACATCACCGTGTCCTCTGTGTGTCAAATCTCCCTCTCCCTCCCTCTTCCCAGGAGATCTGTGACTGCACATAGGGCCCACCTGGATAATCCAAAATGATCTCCCCATCTCAAATTCCTTCGTTTAATTACATCTGTAAATATTTTGTTTCCATATAAGGCAACATTCACAGGTCCCAGGAATTAAAATGTGATGTTTGGGGAGGGCCATGTTAGAGAAACCCAGTTAGCCCAGAAATTTCCGTGGAGCCGCCGTGTCTCCCTTCCTCCAGGATGAGATTCTCTCGGTTTCAGCAATTATTCTGTCCCCAGCTCCGGTGCCGGCGGAGGGGCTGGCCTGGAGTACGATGCCCTCCAGATCGAAAGCGGAGGGGACAAGAGGCAACTTCTGAGATTGCAAATCAAGTAGATGGGCCTCCACTGACCATCGGAGAACAGACTCGCTGGGGCCAGGGACTGGCTAGCCCAGCGAGGGACTCCCTGTGATTGCCTCCTCCAACAGGGGCATACCCCACAGCCCTGGACTTCCAGGACAGAAGATGAGACACAGACGGGAGGCATAAAATAATCATTCCAGGAAATCAACGAGGAAGCCCGAGGGAACAAGTGATCAGAGTAGGAAATTCAGCAGCCCAGCCTCCGGAGTGGCCAAAGAACCTGGTGTAGGACCAGGGAGAAGGGATCAGAAGAGTTAAGAACGTTTTATAGCAAAAGTAGCTGCTTCAGGAAGATTTCAAGGATGTTATGCGATTAGAGGAAACAGGAAATGAAGAACCCTGCAGGCTGCTTGGGAACCAGAGGCCTCCCCCTCCTCCCTCACTCCATCCCTGAGGAATAAAGTGCAGAAAAATGCAGAACTCATGTGAAACCCAAGGGCCTCCATATGATGAGCACAGTTTTAATTCCATGTAAACAGCCGCCTGCAAGGCCTCTGCTGCAGACAGTGTTACAAATGGGTCTGCTTGAACTTGAAGAAAGGGCCATGGGTGGATCTGGTACATCTCAGGAAAAATGAGTTCCAGGACCTGAGACTGCTTTGTTCTTTGGTTTTCATCTGAGATCAAAATGCAAGCTGTTTTATTCTAGTGGGTGTGTCTGCGAGGCCGCAGCTCTGTGTTTCTTTCCTAGGGCTATCTTCACAATCTTTCGCAAACTGGGTGGCTGAAAGCAACAGAAATCTATGGTCCCATGGTTCTGGAGACCGGAAGTCTGAAATCAAGGAGTTGGCAGGACTGGTTCCTTCTGGAGGCTCGCAAGGAGGATCTTTTCCATGCCTCTCTCCTAACATCTGGTGGCGGCTGGAAACTTCTGGCTTTCCTTGGCTCTCCCGACTCATTGACACATCATTCCAATCTCTGCCTCTGTCCTTATATGGCATTCTACTGTGTCTCTATTTCCCTCTTATAGGGATACCGGTCATTGGATTAGGGTACTCCTTAATCCAGTATGACCTTATCTTAATTTGACTATATCTACAAAGACCCTATTTCCCAAAAAGGTCACATCCACAAGTACCAGGGGTTAGGGTTAGGGTTTCACTGTCTCCAGCTAGAGGACACAATTCAACCCATCACACTCTCCAAGTGGGTATTACTTTTTGTTGTTAATCCTCACACGAGAATATTTTTCCATGGATTTTTAGAGAGAGAGGAAGAGAAGGAGGGAGAGAAACATCAATGTGAGAGAGACAAATCGATTGGGGGATCAAACCTGCAACCCAGGTACATGCCCATGACCAGGAATCGAATCCTTGACCCTTCGGTCCTCAGGCCGACACTCTAACTGCTGAATCAAACCAGCCAGGGCTCCAAGTGGCTATTGTAAAATGCTACTAATTCGCTCAGGAGGCGTGATAAGAGCAGCTCTGGGCCTGGGGAGAAGCAACAGCTATGCTCAGAGAGGGTGTGACAAGTAGATGGAGAGAGGGGATCCCTGGATGGCTGAAGTCAGAAAACATTGGTTCCAGTTCCTCCCTGCAAGACCAAACATTTCAGATGAATTTCATCCACTCTCTCTCTCCACCTTACTCCTCAGAGCCCCCCCACGATCAGAGATCCTGCTTCTTATAGACTCTATGCTTTCGATCGGGGATAGGGTTTTAAAACATTCTGCAACATTTAACATATTAAAACAGCATAAACAGAAAACAAAAAACAAACAAAAAAAAACCCCTATGTTCCCATCGCCCAGCTTAAAAAATAAAATTTGACCCATCATTTGAAATCTGATGAGTCCCCCATTGCCTCCCCCATCTAAGCACCCCACACTCCAGGGTGACCTCTAACTGAATTTGGAGGTTTTTGTTCTCAGGTATTCTTTTCCATTAGTACTGTATACCTGTCTCCTTATGCAACAGGGCACCTTCATTTGCATTTTTAAAAAACATATATTGTATCTATTCTTCTACTACTGTTTTCCTTAATGTTACTTCTGTGTATTCCCTCCACACTGATACATGGAGCTCTGCCTCATGCCTTCTGCTGCTGATCCCCCGCCCCCCTTATTTCTCTTTGTCCTAGGCAGTGATGGAAAGTGCAGGCTTGGGAACAGATGACCTGGGCTCACATCCTATCTCTGCCATTTATTTCAGGCAAAATACTTTGCGCCTCGGTGGCTCTGTTTTCTCGTTTATAAAATGGAGATGATAAAAACACCCTCCGCGTGGTGAGGGAGGGGGACCAAATAAGAAAACTCCTGCCCAGGGAACAGCGCCTGCCCGTGAAAAAGTGAAAATATTGACTCATGACTTTTCCATCCACAGGAACACCACGCTGAGAATGGTCAGAGCCAGGCGCTGGGCTCAGATGCCAGGCGAAGTGTTAAAGCAAGGATGTCCAGATTTTCTGGTGTGTTCGAATGAAAATCAGTTAAAACAATAGGAGATAGTGTTCGTCTATTAAATGAAGCGATTGCCATCTATCCCGTTTATGTAAATCATTCCATTCTTCCCTGGACCATTCATCTTGGGGAACTTTTCCAGGCTTCTGCAGATGGAACCTCTCTGGCCAGACTAGAGGAACTTCCGGGGCAAATACAGCGTTAACAAATAAATTTGGGACTGGTGATGGCGAGATGTGTCCCTGCCCCATCACTGGGAACCTGCGCCAGTCATCTGTACCTTCTGGAGTTTGGTGGCTAGCTTATTTGGCCTGGGCTTGTCAGAATGTTCCCTGTCAATATCACCGAGAATCGCAGCAAAACAAAATCACTTCCGGCAGGGGAGTTGAAAGTGGCTATTGAATTAGGTGGATTTCTCTTTTCCCACCATTTCATTAACTATCAGGACACCTAATCGGGTGTGGAATGGCAGTTGCTTCAATCATGTGCTATTTTGAATTACCCAGTATTAAACCCCAACTTTTGCTTATTTGTATGATGTATACTATGCCACTGAGTGTTTTCCAATACAAAAATAAATGGGTCCGAAAAATAGAAATAGAAATTGCTCTGATAGTTTTTCTGGCTTTGGAAAGAGTGAGTTTTCACATTTTTCCTTGTTAGTGGTTTCCATCGGCATAACAACCAATCCTTCACCCACAGAGGTTACCCCACTGAAAGAGAATCTGACTTCCTGCCCCCTTCTGGCAGAAGGTACATGTCCCTTTAGTTGTGAGAATAATTTGGGGGAAACTACGAAAATAAATAAGTTACGACAGCCTGACATCCATCCATATCACATGCAAAGAGGTTTGGCGACAGTCGAACTTCTTCTGGCCCGAGCCAGTCCACTAACCAACACATGCTTCAGAATTTACTATAAAACACGTAACAAGCAAGACTTGTTCCCTGAATCATGAAGCAATTCATTCTCAAAAGCAGACTAAATATCTAGAAAAAGAAACAATGCAAGCTATCTAATACGACAGTGAAATGTTATCAACTTCAGTAAGAGTGACCAGCATCAAACAATGTATAAACCATTTTTGTCTCAGTCAGAGGCTGGGCTTCCAGAGACTCCTTCAGGCTAGAACTGATACCACTTCCTCTACTGCCTTCTGCAAGAAAAATTCCTCCTCCCGCCTTGATTCCTGGTGCAATTTCTAAACTGAGGCTCGTCTTGTCTTCCCCATTCGGTGCTGTGCTTTAATTCTCAAGAGTTTTTCTAAAAAGACTCAGCACAAACCTCAGTATGCCCTGTGCTCACCTAGCCGACGGGCCAGGAAAACCTACTTACTTCTTAGAGCATATTCTTTGGGCTCCACCGAATTCAGATCAGAAAGGAATTCATCAGTGTCTTGCATGCACTTGAGAGAAATGTTTCTTGCAGGAAAAACAAAGGGTAATTGCAACTGCAAAGAAAGCAGACAAAACAGTGATGTCAGGACCATCATTGTCCCTTAACCTGTCAGGATAAATCTCCCCTCTTAGACAAAGAGCCTTATATTTATGAAACACTAGTCCATAACTTGTTGGGGGCAAATGTGACATTGCTGGGTCCTTAACACGCAGTGACAAGCTGTGTCTCCTCAGCCACCTGCAAAGCGGCCGAGATGAACAAACCATGGAAACCGATTTATACACAACTTGTTATTGTTGAGTAAAACAGAGCTGCGGCTATGGGGGCCGCTGACCACCTGGCTTCCTTTAGTCATGCAGATCAACACGGATGATTTTCTCTAGTTAGCTGTTCTTGCGTAGATCTCTGGGTTTAAACAAATATACTAAGGATGTCAAGTGGCAATATTTGGTTTCCTTCCCCCCTGGAATGATTATGTATCCAACCTATAAAACATTCTGATAAGTGATAAACAAAGGAGGGCTTTTCCAAGATCATCTGGGTTTTTCGTGCATCTGTTAATGTGTTTGCCGGACTTGCAAGTGACATAGGTGTGGAAGGGATGAACTCCCCCACGGAAAGAGCCTGGGACCAATAAGCGTGCATATCATCTCCTGGGGCTTAGGATGCTCATCCCGGGCAGGAAATGAAGCTGACAGAAGTCCACAGTGATTGTGTTCATCTACTTTAAGAGAACATAAAATGTGTGGGTTTGGAATTCTCAGGGTGTAAATATTGTCTTTCCAGAAAGGCTTTCTTTAAATAGCAACCTCCCCAACTACACTTAAAATGGGATGCAAACCTTGTTTACGCTGTGGGAACAAGTCCGCACCTGTGGGTGGCTGGGACTTGACTGGACTTCCTGGGGCTGGCTGGCTTCTCAGGGGCCACAGCATCTGAGACCCCGACCCTTTGTTTGAGTCCTCTGGGGCTGCTGACCAGAACACCAGTGCCTGATAAACAACAGATGTTTATGGGTCACATTGGAGCCCAGAAGTTCAAGATCAGGGCGTCGGCATAGTCACCTTCTAATGAGGGCTGGGTGATCAAACAGAAAAACTCCAAACCCTGGATTTATTTCCGAGTCAGTTGTTGATAATAGTGTGTCACTGAAAATATGAAGTTGTTTTTAGAATTCAGTATTAAATATTCCATCTTTTGTCAACTGAGGGGGGGGCGGAATATAATGAGCAGAACACATATCTACATAGTAATCTTCAATGATAAAAACCACCTAAAATGCCCTGGCTGGTTTGGCTCAGCAGTTAGAGCATTAGCCCACAGACCGAAGTGTCACCGGTTTAACTCCCGGTCAAGGGCATGTACTCGGTTGCAGGTTCAACCCCAGGCCCTGGTTGGGGTCATGCAAGAGGCAACCACTCAATGTCTTTCTCACATCGATGTTTCTCTTTCTCTCTCTCCCTCCCTCCCTCCCTTCCTCTCTATCTAAAAATCAATGAAAAAAATAGCCTCGGGTGAGGGTTAACAATAACAACAAAAAAACAACAACCACCTAAAATGATGTTAAAATACCACCTAACTAGCTCTGTGGAAGAGGACAAGCGTTAGGTCTCCCATCATCTGTGAAAACCAGGATGTCTTTGCTGACAACCCACCTGACAACCCACCTGCCGGGGAAGTGGGAACCAACGGCTGCAGAGGCTGCAGAACGAGACAACGCCTCTCGCAATGACAGGAAACTGGGAAACTGGCGACCCGGGGTGGAAAGCAGGCGGAGCTCACGAACCAGCAGCCAGTGGGCACCGCGGAGAGTGCTCAGTGCCAGGGGGAGTCATGCCACGTGGGGAGCGGGGAGCAGCGAGCGGGGTGTGCTGCTGGCTGGGGTGGGTGCATTCCAGCAAGGTGACCCAGAATGCGCTCTCTGAGCAGGTGACCTCGGAGCCAACCGGAACTTAGTGCAAAAAGGTCCACGTGAGGATGACAACGCAGGGAAGGGCATTCCAGGCTGAGGAACAGCCCGTGCCAGGCGCTGGGAAGGGAATGTGCAGAGCGTACAGGAAAGAGTCAGGAAGAAGGCGAAGAAGAGGAGGTTGGTGAGGTGATAGGATGCGGGGACGGAAGGTCTGCTGGGGCCTCGAGGTTGCAGAAAGGCACACACTTCTACAGTAACTGATATTGTCATGCTGCTGGGGTGGTGTCTCAGAGGGAAGCAGGCGTCTAAGGTCTGAATGTCCCACCATGATGTCGGCTGAGGCTGAGGAAGGTCCACACTTCTTCCTCCCATCTTGGTCCTTCCCCTTTCCTGACCAACAGGTACAGTTGACAAGATGACTCTCCATCCGTAATCACCGCGACCATGCCACCATGCCACCAGAACGAGTTCATTTAAACTGTGCCTGCCACCTTGTACCACTGCTGGAGGGTCCAGGCAGGAGCACTGTGTTGGCCATGTCTGAGGTTAGGCTGCCAGGGGTCAGGGACATGACCTTCTGGCTTCTGGAGCAGGAGACAAGTTCCATTTCTTTTTTTATGCCTCACCTGAAGATTTTTAAAATTGATTTTAGAAAAGGAGGAGGGGAGAAGGAGAGAGAGAGATGAAAGAAACATCAATCAGTTGCCTCCTGTACATGCCCTGACCGGGGATTGAACCTGCAACCTAGGTATGTGCCCTGACTGGGTACTGAAACCGCAGCCTTTTGGTACATGGGACGATGCTCCAACCGAACCGCCCGGCCAGGGCAAGGTCCATTTCTGGCCAAGAAGCATACAATGGCAGATTCTTCAACACTGGAAAAGGATCAGATGCTGAACCTACAAAACCAAGAAAAATGTCCATAAGCCCTACGCAAAGACCTGTCTTCTACCCTTTCGACGAGAAGGCGGTTCCCTTGGACACACAGCTCTGCTTCTCCTGACTTCTCAACATCACACCATTCTCTCCAGTCAGCGCGCTCTGCCTTCCTTGTTCCTTTTCATCAAGGAAATGATATGTATTCTCCAGAAATAACCAACCCAGTTACACTTGACTACACCTAAAGGTCAGAAAATTACTCTGGGGCTAAACCCACACCTTCTGGAACTGAGTTGGAGGTGTGACATGGTGGATTCTGACTGTAGCGCTCCCCTAGCTAAAAACACAGTAATTCACCTCTGTAACTCAAAGGACAGCTCCAGGGCAGCACCACGCAATAAAGCAGCAGCAAATTGGATACTCAGTTCCTTTAATGCTACGAAACATTATAAATAGCGCTGCTTGGAGTCAGAACTAACTTCATAGATTGAATTTAGAAACTAGCAAAGAATGTTTTCTGGGAAGTGTTCTTCTGTTTCCTTACATAAAATATAGCCACTAGGAAGAGGGTATAATTCTAGGATAGACCTGGTGAGGTAATTAGAAAGAAAAGATAAACACGGAATGCGGGGTACCCTGTTCCAGCTCACAGCCTACCTATAGGGGATCACATGCACATTGAAAGACAGGTAGAGAGCAGACACTTATGAAATTGTGTGCTAGGTACTTGTGTTGTGGTCATTACGATGTCTGCCACCCAGTGCCCCAGATCGGCACGCATCCCCGTCCTGCTCTGTGCCCTGCTTGCTGACATTACAGAAGGTTTCTGGGGCTTCTTGCCCTCTCGCTTCTATCTGGCTTTGGGCCAGTGGGAGGTGCAGGCAGGAAATCTTTGAGTGTGAGGGGACAGCCTCCTTGTAATTTCCCTCCCACACCCTTCTTGCTTCACTAGGGCTCTGGCTCTTACGAAGAGGCCCCAGTCCATGGCTCCAACTCCAGCCCTGAGGCGGCAACGGCTAGTCCCCGGGAGTCTCAGCATCCTTTGTTCCAGACCATGGCTCTCTATATAGTCCCCTCCTTCATTTCTTTAAAGTAAAACCTTTTCCAGGTGTGCTATTTGTGTTCAGCTAAGACACTAATTCATACAGGATCTAACGCTGGGCACCCCCCGATCTATCTTTCCAACAAGGGCAGCACATGTGAATGAGCCAACTCCCAGAACACAGGCTGATGACACAAGTTTCATCGTCCAATGAATCGAGCCTTTACTAAAATGTTCATCAAGCTTTACTGGGACGGCAGGGAGGGGACATGGATGTGGAAAGGGAACGTCATCCCCAGCTCAGCCTCACACCCACACCACGCGGATCAAGGCGGCACTTCAGCGTAAGGGGTTTGGGGCAATGGTGACTATAGGGTGACACTAGTCCAGAGCTCCCGGGAGCTAGAAGAGGGGCTCTTCCAGAGACATACATTCACACTGTCCTATCACAAAGGTTTATAATGATCTCTGTCGGGATCATTATAAGAAACTCGAAGTAAACAAGAAGGTCCAAGTGGCCATTTAAGCAAAGAATGAACTGCGCATGAGGAGGAGCCCCGTTCTTACACTAAATGTAAGTTCGAAGGTGTGTGCTTACGATTAGGAGCTGCAACCTGGAGCACACACAGCACCTGGTGTGCTCGCATGCGTGTGCACACGCGCGGCTAAGTGGTGCAGATAGCATTCCACATAAGACACACCCCTTTATTTTCAGACCATTTTGGGGATAAATGAGTAGTTCCTTTAAGTCATGTTTTATTTTACCAAGTTCTTCAAACACTTTTTCCTCTTTTCCCCTTTCCAGTAGGCATTTTTAAATCACAGCAGCATGAATATATTAATACGAAATAATAATATCTTAGCCAAAGTTTTCAACAGGAAAGTTCCCTCTTGGTCAATAATCTGGAATGCAGCTCACTAGCCCACTGACCCTGGGGAGGGGCGCCCAGCAGAGCTTCGGGTGGGGCAGTTATTCTTTAGAATAGGTACGGAGTAGGAGGGGGGTGTTTGCAGAAAGCGTGTCTGGGAGGAAGTGGCCTACGCCACGTCGTCTGGGTCTACATTTTCCTGTTTCTCATCTCGTGCGTCCTTATCACCTCGCCGGCATTCTCTATGGCAGCACGACGGCTCGATGGCTGATAAAATCATCCAACCACACACATGCAAACAAAAACAGATCTCCTGTGTGTACGGAAAGTGCAAGCTTCACCACACCTAGCTATAATTTTGACTTTCACATATCTAAGTAGTAATGTAAACC